CCAGTTCCAGTGGATGAGCCCGCAGATGACAAGAAGGCCACATCCAGCCAGTACCAGCCGCGGGCAACCGCGCGCTTAGAGGAACCTGCATCCGGCCACGTGAAAGCATATTGGATGGAAGAGCATTTGCCTGAATACCAATACACAATGGTGACCAATGCAGACGGGGATGATGTGCCCGGGATCCTCTTTGAAGGTACGGCTTATGAGCTGGAGCTGATATCGGCATCCGACGTCGAGACCATTGCAAGCCAAACTCGCGTCGACAAGAAGTTCTCCGACTTTGCAACTCGTGTCAACAAAGTTTGCAGGGGGCATGGATCCTGTTCCAAGGTGCCAATGGACAAAGACCTTTGGATCGACTTGGAGGATTTTGCCAAAGCCTTCCGCAAGGAAGTGCCCCCAGATGTGTTCATCACTGTCTCAAACCTGTTTGGCACTGCAATGAAGATCGACAAGCATGGCAAGAGTAGGTTCCAATTCTTGTGTGCAAAGATCTCCCATTTCCCTGTCGACAATGGCTTAGGTATGCCGTATTACCCTGTGAAAATTCGTGCAATTCAGGGTCACTCCGAAGCTGCCTTGAAATCCGCCGGGGGCCTTTATGCCAATTCAACCATGGTGTATTGCTCAAACCAAGTTTCCCCTGAGCGAAAAGCCGCCTTCACTGGCGTGCCCTTGTGTGCCATGACTGAGGTCCCTGAAATTGTTTTTCATCGCACGATGAGAAGCAGTTGGAAGAGCATCGCACAGAACGGCCTGATCCCAGGCGGCGGTGACACAGTCAACAGTGGCCGTGCTCATATCTACATGGCAGAACACTGTATCGGCACACAGGGATATCGATCTGGATTAAGAGCAAAATGTCCAGTCGAAGTCAAAGTCGCAATGCGGCAAGCAGTTGAAGCTGGTGTCATCTTTAGTCGCACAGAAATGGATGGTATTTTGTGTTCAGAACGCATTCCACCGCAGTTTCTGGTCAGCATCTCAGAGGATGGACAGGTGCTTTGGTCCCGCGCCGAGAGCAATCTCGAGCCCACTACATGGACAGGCGCGGCATCGGCCTCAGCACCAAGTTCCAAAGCGGTCACCCTGACTGCCCGAGATGACGCAAATGACGACCCAATGGATGACACCAGCACGGGGCGACCCGATGCCACGTCCACTGATGATGCAGCCACTGCCTCAATGCAAGTTGACCAGCCGTCCGCAAGGACGCGCCGTGTTTACATTGCACCAAAGTACTGCGAACCTTTCATGGGCTCATGCCCCCTCTGCCAGGTTGAGTACGTCAGTGGCCAAGTGACATGCACCACATGTGGATACGAGCCACTCCCAGTGGACGAAAGTGGCGAAACAAAAGAGGCCGACAGATCCAACAGAAGGACCCGCATCCTTGAACGGCGAATGCAGAGCCTCGCCGGGTTCGGAATGTATGGGAAGATGAGCGGCACCCTGTTGACGGCTTTGACAAATGAACAAGCCGATCTTCTTCGCCGGGAACTGGGCCCCAGGGGAATCACATCCGTGGAATCAGCAGTCCTCAAAGACTGCCGCGATAGGCATCGTCGTGCAAAAGCGCTTGGATATGAAGATGTGGAAGACAGATTCGCAAGCGATGTCACTTTTTGCGACCGCATCCACGGTGAGGGGAAGGGCCTGCAGGATTGTATCTTTGATGATATGTTTGCATACGGCAACCTCCCCGATCCCCCAAGGACCAGAGCTCAGATCTCGGCTGGCGTCGCCGCCAATGCCCAAAATGAAAGCTGCTTATCCAAGTTGATTTTCATGTCACAGCCCCGAGGCGTGGATGGGTTCCCAGTTGAGTTCCGAAAAACATGGAAAAAGGTCTGGGGTTTCATGTTCGGCCGCCACATTTTCACAGAGGATGAATATATCAGCTACATCGGCCGTCGCGGCGCATACCGTGGCCTGTTGACCTGGAAGGGCACTGTCCAAGTTCCTTTTGATGGCACTCTTGAATTCCTCGAAAAGGTGTATGAGGAAAACCTTCCATTGGTTCGGGGCAACCTTGAACGCAAAGAGAAGCAGAGCGCCGCTGCAAAGGCTGGAGGTCCTGGAGGTCACAAGGCCGACCCCACGGTCGCGCCCACTGTTGAGCGAAAACGCAAAGCCGAAGCTGATGCATCCGCCACCACACATACTGACACAGCCGCCTCAAGCTCTGCTCGCGCAGACGCCTCGCACGCTGATGCCCCAGTTGATCCCAACAATGCACCATTTCTTGCACCCGAACCACCAACATCCAAAGCAGGAGCACGACCATTCTTGGAGCCTGAGACACCGCCCACTGCAAAAGCAGCAAGCACAGTCGCATCGAAGGCTGCAAGCTCCGGTCGCCCGGATGCCTCTTGGAGTTGGAATCGTGATCACTATGGTGCACGCCGAGAATGGAGTTTCTGGCGTGGGGCTTGGTATTACCGTGACGAGGCCGGCGGCCGGTGGATCTATTGGAACCGCAGGTAGACGATGATTTTCTTTTGTAGCATAGCGCAAGATGCGGCATGGTAATGTGCCTTCCTTGCAAAGCTGCGCTGGGTTTTACGGGCTTGAGCTTTTATAGGGACCTTTGAAAGACTGCACAAAAATGTTCAAAACCAAACAAACAGATTTGGCTACCCGCGAGGGTATGCTCTTCTGGGTCATTCGTTCTCCGCAGTCGTCCCTGCTCGCCCGAGGGGGGTGTAAAAACTCCTGCAGTAAAACCATGTAGTGTACATATCATCGTACTACTCTGTAGCGTTGGTTCAAAACAGTGCCAGCAGCTTAGCGGTTACTTGTCCCCATTAGTGTTGTAACATATTGGTGGCTGACCTTGTAAAATACAGGATGGTTTTATTATGTTTTATCCTGGCTACATTGATAGCTGATAGAGCATGTTTCAAGAGCTGCTGTTTCCGATTGGTTGGTTTTACTGAGTTAACTCCCTATACAAAAGCACTTCCAGTGATGTTGCGGCCCGGTGGTGTTTTGCTGTAGATTTAGCCTTCGTTGAGACAATGGGTCGAACGCGGATCAGAACCTGGTGAAGTTGGGAATGAGTATGAATGAGTCAAGATCTGCGCATAATTTTCTGGGATGAATGTTCTTTTCTGTTGTTGTGCACGCGAGAAACCAACTCAGTTGTGCACGAGGATGCTGGTGTCCTTATGATGGTGTTGACGGTGTTGACGGTGATGATGGTGATGATGATGATGATGATGATGCTGGTGATGATGATGATGATGATGACGATGATGACGATGATGATGACGATGACGATTGATGACAATGATGATGGTGGTGGTGGTGATGATGATGCTGGTGGTGATGGTGATGATGATGATGATGGTGGTGACGACGACGATGACGACGATGATAATGATGATGATGATGATGATGATGATAATGATGCATTCGCGGACCGTTGGGACTATGTGCTTGTAAGTAAGTAACGCGCATCGGTGGTCCGGTATTGACCCTATTGCGTGTCTGGGCTCTTTTTCTTCGGTTTCCCTACTATTGTCCCCACGCGGTCTCTGGTCTCTGCAGTGATGTCCTTGGATTTCAGCCTGTGCTGTGTTTTCATGTCTGTTGTTTTGCACTTTTGTTATATATAACGCGACGGTTGATATATTGGTTATAGATACCGTGGCGATAGCCTCACGTTAGGTTATATTTAGAACGGCGCGACCGCGACTAGATTTGTAGCTGTTGAGCGAGCGTAGTCATCCGTGTCTTTCGATCCCACCCCACCCCACCGGTAACTCATCATGCATGAGCAGTGCCTGTGTCTGCTGGACAGCAAGAAGGACGATAAGGTTGCTGTGCCTGTGTGTGCACAGGAACATGAACGTTATTACTCCACCCCACCCCAACCCACCGTTAACTGATCATGAAAGAGCAGTGCCTGTGTCTGCTGGACAGCAAGAAGGATGATAAGGTTGCTGTGCCTGTGTGTGCACAGGAACATGAACGTTATTACTCCACCCCACCCCAACCCACCGTTAACTGATCATGAAAGAGCAGTGCCTGTGTCTGCTGGACAGCAAGAAGGATGATAAGGTTGCTGTGCCTGTGTGTTCACAGGAACATGAACGTTATTACTCCACCCCACCCCAACCCATCGTTAACTGATCATGAAAGAGCAGTGCCTGTGTCTGCTGGACAGCAAGAAAGATAATGACGTTAACGAGCCCCACCCCATCCCCGAAGTCTCTGTGTGTACAGCTGAGACACTTTTGTGTGCACAAGTGAGTCAGAATCCTGTGTGCGCAACTGAGTCAATTTTGTGTGCGCAAGTGAGTCGCCGTCCATTCTTTTGTCAGCGACCTTGGTGTGAACAGAAGGGAACAAAGCATGGGATTTGACAGATAAAATCGATGTGATCTAGAAGTCTTCCAGAGGTAGCAGATTCATCCCTTGAGACATATGCCAGTAGTATCCAGTAGTGCTTTTGGTTTTAAGGGGCTCACATGTTGGACCCTGTAGGTAAGGGGCCCAAATTTAGCACATTAGGAGGTTCTAGGTATATTATATATATATATATATATTTCTATATAAGATAATAAGATATACATTTTTATGTATATATATATATATTATGTATATATATATATATATATTATGTATATATATATATAACATGTTAGATAGATAGATAGATAGATAGATAGATAGATAGATAGATAGATAGATAGATATACATTTACATTTTGTATATGTATATATATATACATATTATATGTATATACATAACATACGAATATATACTACTATATAATCTATATATCATACTTTATGATATAGAGTAATATATTATTGTATTATATCAAGTAATACGTTTTAATACTACATTGCGTTATATTGTTGTATATAATTATTACTATATTATTTTATATTGTATAGATTCTCTCTCTCTCTCTATATTTATATATATATATATATGTCCGTACGCGCATTGTGGGACTAGACAGGTAGACAGTCTACCGCGCCAGGAGACACAGCACCAGATGGACGGAGTGCTCCGTGGCGCCTTGGATCAGTTGGAGCGCGCGCAGTCGCGGAAGTTGGAATTCCTGCAATCCATGAAGCGCCAGGCGCCCATGCCATCCCCCGGTGTCCCCGGTGTCCCCGGTGTCGCGGTGGTCACAAGGTGGGCCCCCGTTGGATAGCGTTCTTTGTTGGTGCGTTTATCACTACAAGAACTGTTGGCCTTATGGTAGTTATAAGATGGTTTAAGTATAGTTGGATTGGGTTATCAATCGACTTGTAACGTTTGGGGGCCCCACATTGCATGAAACAGGACAAAAATCCCAAGGTCAAAAATCCCAAGGTGGTCGATCTAGATCCTATAGCACCTATAGGTCTATGGAGGTTGAGTTGGATGGAACATATCAAGCAGGGGAAGTAAATGGTGGTATTTTCCAGCCACATGTTGATAACAGAAGGGAGGGTAAACCACCACGTTTGATGGGTTTTTTCTGTAGATATGCCGTTTCCCAGCCATTCCGACACAGACTTTTAGAGATTTTCGATGTTTTATTTTGGGATGTTTTTTGGTCATTTGTATATATCCACTAGTGACTAGTGGCTAGAACTTTGAGCAGGGGAACCAGAAACCAACCAGGATAGTCCAGCACTAAAACTAAGTTTTTCTGTTGATTTAGGCAAAAAAACAGGGGCTCAGGATGGTCCGAAAAATGGGATGCCCATTTCCCATGGTGGCTCCATGGTTTTCCTGAAAATTCCAATGGTTTCTCATGATTTTCCCCGTGAAAGTCCCCATTTTATGTGGATACCCGAGTTTTGGGACCAACGCAAGTGGAAAGGTTTTCAAGATGATTCCTTGGAAAGTCAGAGCTTCCAGATTCTTGTGTTCAGAAACATCCCGCCGGACCGGAAACCGTGCCCATAAAACAAACGTTTTTTTTAAAAATGGCGATTTTACCACAGTGCCGTGCTGATTTGATGATTGGAAATTTTGGAAAAACTTGGGGCGCGTTTTTTGACTTTTCAGCGTCATCGCTGCAACGCATGCACCGTTATCAGCTGTCAGTCAGCATTCTTGTGAATGCATCTCCATTGCCAAGCTCTAGCATACACCATGAAGAGGTCACTTTTGGCACTCAAGCTGCTGGGAATTGACTTTTTCATCAGATTCCACATAGAACATGTAACGTAGCAAACGATCCCAGAGATCTCAGCAGCATAGCAGCATGTAACGTAGTAAACGATCCCAGAGATCTCAGCAGCGTAGCAACATGTAACGTAGTAAACGATCCCAGAGATCTCAGCAGCGTAGCAACATGTAACGTAGTAAACGATCCCAGAGATCTCAGCAGCGTAGCAACATGTAACGTAGTAAACGATCCCAGAGATCTCAGCAGCATGGCTCATGTACGAAGCAAGGAATATACATGTTACCGCCCCCACCCCCACCCCACCCCACCCCAGTAGCAACATGTAACCTAGTAACGATCCCAGTGATTTCAGCAGCATGGCAATATATCATGTACGAAGTACAAGGACCGTTAACATGCCGCTGCTTCCCCCCCAACCTCACCCCACCCCACCCCATCAGCAGCGTAGCAACATGTAACGTAGTAAACGATCCCAGAGATCTCAGCAGCATGGCAATATATCATGTACGAAGTACAAGGAACGTTAACATGCCCCCCCCCACCCCACCCCACTCCCCACAATCGCGATATTCAAAAACGTCCGTTTTACGGGAACGGTTTTCGGTCCGCAGGCAGAAACATGTACCCCCAGATCATCTATGCATAGTACGGTTTCTTAATGCTCATTTACTCCAAGGAATCAGAAATCATATGTCGATCTGTGAAACTCTAGCATCATTTACCATGCATACTGTGAAACTCAACAGCATCATTTACCATAATACCTATATAATATACCAGATATCTAGCATCATTTACCATATTTTCCATAATTTACCATGCATAAGATATCTTGGTGGATGATCACAACCGGCCATAATTTTGCCACATGAAGTGACGCAAAACACGAACGGAAACGAAGGGTCATAGCGGTTGGACCATCTGACAAAATCTCAATTTTTGATGGTTTTTGATGATTTACAATTGATGGTTTTTGATGGGTTTTGATGGTTTTTTGATGGTTAAACTGTTAAACAATTCATGATTGTAGAGCAACAGTTTTCACCATCTCCTCCAAGTTGGACCATTTTTGGGTGGGATTGAAACCATGAATCCATCTTAGGCTGGTGACATTTGCCAAGATCTGTGGATGCTCCATGGCCAGGTCACCACTCAGTTGCTCTTCATCCAATGGCTGGACAACTTTCAGGCCCATGCGCGGATGGCATTACCTCCAGCAGACCCTGGGCGGATCTGGGCGGGTTCCATGGCGACTTCCGGGGGTTGGTTGGAGGCGGTAGACCGACTGCGTTGGTGTGTTTCGATGGGATCAAAATGAATGATATGGGGATGGGTCAAAATCCTGGACCCTGGTACCTAGTGAACCCCAAAATAGCTGGTAAATGGATGTTCATCCCACTAAAACTGTATCTATAGGTATCGACCCATACCCATATTATGATGTTGGTGAATATTCTGTGAATATTTAGATGGGACCAAGTTTGACCTATTTTGTTCTTGATGGGACTCAGTATCAGTTTATATAAGTCGTGTGTGTGTGTGTTTTTTTTGTGATTCATCATTTCCGGTGCCCTTGGCAGATGCTCGCCATCAAAAAGAGAGGATGCGATGCGGATCATGATCAACCAATAGATGATGGCTGTTGATGGCTGTTGATGGCCCGCGAAAGTTCAGAACACATTTCAGTCCTCGGCCCAAAGGTGCTATGTTGACTGTTAAGAGGGGGATTCGTCACAATGGATGGAATCATGTAGAATCCGTCTTGTCCATATTTCCAAGATAGTCTCAATCCATCATGAATTCATGGGAAAGTCAAGTGGCATATCTGTGACTCGTGTCTATATATTATGGCTTGATATTTGGTCATGCCGTTAAAATTTAAAACATCTTCACACTAGGCACCAGAGTAACTTGATTCACCTATAACTGTTCCTTTTAGCAACACTAGTGAAACCACGAAGCACTCCGCGATTTTCAGAACTTTCTTCCATGACAGATGTGGGAAAATTGAACAATATCTAAAAAAAATATATATTAAAACGTCTATAAGCACACACACAATATATATATATATATATTTATATATATATATATATTATCCATAAACACATATATATATATATAGATATACACATCTATAAGCATCTAATAACAGCCATCATCTATATCCCCAAAAACTGGGGAATGAACATCCAGAACTCCCGAGGAATTCGTCGTGGCGACGAAGCGACATGAAGGTCTTCTGGCGGCCCTCTTTGGGTCCAGTCAAGGCGCAGACATGGCCCGGGACGACTCTCTAAGGACCCCTAAAAAAATGGTGGTTTTTACCGCCGGTTGGTGGGGTATTTAAGGAGGGTCTTGGCATATCTGTATTATATGTAAGTATATATATATATATATCATGATATATCCAATTATATGTAAAACCCAATCAAGCCACATTTGAGCATATGTGCCACTCATTTATGATAGTGGGGATGGTTTATGGCATTGGGTGAATCCCACATTACCCAAAAGAACCCCATTACGTATCCAACTATAGCAGCCCCAATATAGATCGAACAGTTTTTCAACCTGTACATTGTGCGGGAAACATTATCAGCTTTATACCATCCTGGATTTTCACTTTATGTAGCGACCATATCGCACTCAAACCCATCATCATCATACTTTTGATTAGTTAGTTATATCCCATCAAATCCATTCCTAATCTACATTTACATGATGTATACAGTGGGAAATTTAAACATCAAACTATATTCCAACTTATGTGTCCCATCATACCCACACCCTCCTCAAAATACACCAAACAATATAGAGTAAACTGTACAGGATGGGGACCCCAAGATAGCTAAGTTGACATATAAGTTGACATCTAAGTGGCTGATTTCTATGGTTTAGATATAACTATAGATAGCTATAGTTATTTAATGATGTTTATAAACCAACGTTCACATCGCTGGGAGGCACCGCTGTAAGTGGCCTGAAAATGGTCCCATAAAGTGACAAAGGTCACGTTTTGGTCACTTTATGGTCACAATGGTCCCAGTATTGGATGATGGGAAAACATTGCAGGGATCCATTAAACACTGGTTGGTGGTTTGGAACATTTTTGTTTCCCATATATTGGGAATTTCATCATTCCAAATTCCAACTGACGAAGTCCATCATTTTTCAGAGGGGTTGGTATACCAACCACCAACCAGTGTGTCATGATCAAAAGATGGATAGTATATCCATATTGGATGATGGGAAAACATTGCAGGGATCCTCAGGACACCCCTTAAACATGTAGTAAACACGATTTAAAAAAAAACCCGCCGCACAGCTTGGTGTCCAGCAGCCAGGCTCCATCCCGAAGGGCGCGGAGCTGGGTCTGGGCTCGATCCCCGCCTGGGTCAACGAGGAGCTGCTGCTGGAAGGCCTGGCAGCTCCGCCCAGCTCCGCCCAGTTCCAGATGATTTTGATGGGAATCCCAGACATAAAATAGCTATAAAATAGTTCATGATTTTTTATGCCATTATGAATCATGAACTATAACTATTATCATCTTTGCGAACCATCATAAAGTATATGAACTATGATCATCATTACGAAGCATTATAAATTATGAACTATTATCATCATTATGAACCATGAACTATAACATGAACTATTTTATAATGTTCAGTTAAAAATTATTATGATAATAATGGTAGATATATAACTGTCTATGATACAATAACTTGTTAATTAACAATAACAGTATCATCATGAACTATAACAGTTATCTATCCTTAATCATTCACCATAATAACAGTATCTTCATTGGGATCTCATCCCTCACTTTTTGGGGAGTATAATCCCATCAGTGGGATTCAGTATCCCGAAGCACTATGTCACTAGGTTAGTTTACGCATTTCTAAATGGGAGAAACCACTTAGTTGACTGACCCTTTGAGGTGACTAAGTTAAACCCTAAGGAAAACATGGCTTAAGTGACCAAGTGACCTGGTGGTTGAAAAGGTCATGTTGAAGAACCATGTGTATATATATATATATATGATATATATATATATATGTGGTATTTATATATATATATATATATGATTATGAAATTAGTAATGACATACTGGATAAGACGCAGTGTATCAGGGTATCTGATTTATTGGCACTGAGATATGTGGCCTTCTACGCGACGGAGATCAACCCCGGGTGGTCTCTCTAGATCATGGGGATTTGTTTCACAAAGCTATAGGGGAACCCATCTTCTGGGATATTTCATGGGGGGTTCATAGTATATATATATATATGTATACACTGGGCACTGATACATATGCAGCGTTTTTAACAGTTTCTGCATTTAGCCATCTACGAAGTTAGTTACTGGGCCTACTTGGTCATTTGTCTTAGTGATTCGCCCATAGGCCCATAGATCAAGTGGTTGGTGGCGCAGCGGCGCCATGAATTTGAGCTGTGTTTCCATATGTTTTGTTTGTTGAAACGGTTCATGAATACCTATACCTGGGAAGGGCTTGAATATGTACCCTCTGGTTATTTAACATAGCCATGGAAAGATCCACCCATTTTATAGCTAGGTAAACCATATATTTCTATGGGCCATCTATACCATGTCAAACTGTTAGTCATAACCAGAGGGTAATTGTCTTTTCCTGAAATGTTGATGTCTATGGGATGATGACCCAATGACCTAATTCGTTGGATGTTTTTGAAGTTTTTGTCAGTGGCTTTTGAGAACAACTTTGACGACAAAATATGAGAACCACTGCTCATACATAGGTTTCCAATATGATAAAACAAACAGACGCTGATGCTCCACCCAAGGATTTTTTTTTCTGGGCTGCGGAGCATGCCTCATGTATGTTGAAACGAACACCTCCATCTGAGAATCCGAGCAACATCTCTCACTAAAGAGAAAGATGTACAGTGAAATCACATGATGGGATTTTACACAAAGTGGATACATGTGGACAACACTTTCTCAGAAACGACAACCTTGAAGCAGCCAAAGTTTGTTAGGATACGAGCCCAAAGATTATAAGAACTTGTTTAATCTGAAAAGAACTGATTGAGAGGAAATCCAGCTGAACTTGTGAAATTTAGGGGTTTGATCAGTTTGTTCGGTTTGTGAAATCAATCGCTGTGTAGCTATAATTCTCCATCTATTTTTGCTTTCCTTACAGCTGTAGCCTTCAAACCAGTTATCATATCTGGCTTGTTTATAACTTATTTAGCCAACTATGTGCAAGAATTATGATCCCATTTATAACTAAGTTAAGCTTGGTTCAAATTCAAAGTCCCAAAGAAATACCTTCTGGTAAACTAACATAACTATGGAAAATCACCATTTTTAATGGGAAAACTCACTATAAATGGCCATTTTCAATAGTTATGTTAAATTACCAGAGGGTACAACTTTGGGGGCTCCAAGAGGCAGCAACATCCAATGGAGCAGGGACCCCAACAGCCCCGGGAGGCGCCGTGGCCGTTCAGCTGGCCTCGCTGCCGCCGCCCATCGCTGAGCCCGGCCCGGCGGCGCCGAAGCCGGCGGCGGTCGCGGCGGAGCTGACGCCCACGTTGGAACTGCAGCTGTCCAACGGCAAGGCCATGGGAAAATCCATGGGAAAATCCATGGGAAAATCCATGGGAAAATGGGAAAATCTATGCGAAGAATTGGAAGATCATAGGTTTTTCTTAAAGTTGTCTTAAAGGTTTGTATATGGTTATAACATTTTTTCCCTCAACGGTGTGATTGTTCATGAGTTTCTTCGGTTTTAGGGTTAATCAAAACTTAACACCGTCATATGGTTCTCAGAAATGGTGGTGCATATCGGATGCATGAACACTTAAGACCCAGGGGACCGCAGATGTTCGTTAATCTTTAGCATAAACCATCCAATTTAGGGGTACCCAATTTTGATCCATACCCATATATGATCATATGACTGTAGTCTGCAAATAGTAAAATAATCTAATCTATAGAGGTACAATGGGGAGACAAAGACTGGGATATACAAGCAACATGATGATAGATACCCTGAATTGATAGATAAACCCTCCAAGAAGCCGCCAAAAAATGGGTTTATCTATCATTTTTTCTATCAATTCGAGGGTAAAAGCCCATCTTCCTTGATAAATTGCCATTAAAATTGTGTTGTACCCAATAAAAATTGTGTTTTACCTCATGAAAATATGCGTGTTTACCTCACAAAAGTTGTGTTTTACCATGTTTTACCTCGGGTTTTACTTCCCCCAAACATGTGTTTTACATCATAAATGATCGTCCAGGCCAATGAGGACCCTGGCAGCTCCTACCTGGAAGCCACGCCACGCGGCCGTGGCTCCAAACGGGCCAAAGCTGAGGCCGCAGGTGCGCCATGGGGCAGTAGGATGGAGGAGCACCTACTGCAACGTGTTGGAAGGTTGAGATTTATGATGTGTGTCAGTTCGGGTGAAATCATGTTAAACGTAGGTGGTTAAATGACTAGATTAACATGTCACGACTTGTTTCGATTCTTTGAACACAAGTTAAAGCTAGTTGTTGTAGAGATGCATAGGATCATGTTGAGATTCCCACACTTATGGTTCAGTTACAAACTGGTGGCCGTGGAGCGCAATCACACTACAAAGTGCAAGGCATGGCACTGACCTAAAATCCCAAAGGCCCTCAGCTTGAAGAGACAGTTTTTGCAGGAAACTGTTAGTTTCCTTTAATGGTAAACAAAACATGGTATTTCCGGTTGTTTTTCTCTGAGCCAATGCATCGATAAGCCAGGTATTGCTGGTGTCAGCGATACCCTCTATGCACAACCCGCTCAGCCGGCTCTGGAGGAGCTGGGATGGGTGGCTGAAACCCGACACCTTACCTGGCTCTGTCTAAGAATAGGCTACCCCAAAAATGATGTCAATTATCAAGTTATCAGAATTGTCCTAGTTAATGCTTAGTTAGTTTCATCTTACTGGTGCTTAGTAGGGAATGAGGGAATGATCCGTAATCACTAGTAATAATAATCCCAGCAACCCCCCATTCCCATCCATTCCCTACGTTTAGCACCAGCAAGTCATTTGTTTTGGTTTACTGGCTGCCATGGTTTGCCACAGAAACCCCGAGACAAACCCATCTGACAGATGAATCCTACCGACTCACTGATTCCGTGCAAAGGATAACTTTTTTTAGCCCCAGTTGGCCGACGTATTAGTTGTGGTTACTATAACTACAAGGTGGTGCCCCATAGTTAGCTAAGTTGGTTTATAACTCCAATAACTATGTTTTATGGTAGATATATCTATACTTTCTATGGTTTATAAACCAACTTATAACTGGGGGGGTACCACCTTGTATAACTACTGTAGACTGTAACATACTATAACCATTGATGACAAGAAAAGAATTGGGCAGGTGTCACGTTGGTGTCACGTGCCCTCAAAAGTCCCCAGCCTGTGCTTTGCATCAGCACTTTTTGCGGAGATTCACCACAGGTTACAAGAGTGGAAGATACTGACTTTCTGCAGACCTGGACTCCCCATGGGATTTCTGAAGCACGAGACTTGCTTTTGCGATCGCTTCAACATATCGCAGATCCATTATGATCCTGTAAATCCATCTCATGAATCTTTGTTTCACCTGCCAATGAATGCTGCAAACATAAACATATACGGGTGGTTTCAATTTGAAAGCAGTTTCAGTCTCAGTCAGATGGTGCATGCGTGGATAACGAGGTGATGTTTAGGTAAATGCTGATATACAATGTGGTAAACCCAATCTTCAATTCAAGGGTTTCTTGGATGACGTAAAATGGCACCCACACATGGTTGACTGCTGGGACGGTTGATTATTGGGTTTACCACATTAAAGATAAAATAACTTTAGCGTCACCATTCTTATGTGGTAACATGTAATAACCCCTAACATATCCCTATAGTATATCCCCAAGAAATGTTGTGAAACTATTCTGGTTATCCAGAATTATCCCAAACTTTTCAACAGTTAACTATACTTATATATATATATACACTTCTCACATCTTCTCACTTTTTTTTCGTTTTTGCCCAGAAACTTCATGAAACATCCATGGTGCCGGAAGGAAAGTCGCCCCGATTCGCCCGATTCGCGTCCCGCCCTTCCAGCACCCGCGCCGGCGCTTCCAGCACCGGCGGCGGCGCCGGCACATGGGCTCCTGGATAAAGCCGCCGTGGCAGCGGTGGAGCAAGTGCCGAACCAAAATGCCCGCGCGGAGTACCTTGGCGGCGAAGGGTACCACTGGTCATCAGTTGATGGATTCTGTTGGGATTTTCAACATGTAGAACTGGGGAGTCTACACTTTCTATTGAAAGTTGGTTCTTTTTTTGGGATTTCAAATTTTAGATGTTGATGTGGGTATGTCATGTGCGAACTTTGGTTACATCTGTTGGCCATGGGACGAATTAATGGTTTTACATAATTTGTTCTGAGATTGGCAATGAATTCCGGCATTTCTTAAGACAAGAAAAGCTCTCAACACTTTCTGGGGTGTGTTGGACTTAAGGCTCGATGTTCGATATGTCAGTCCTCACCGGGGGATGTCGTGGGGCGGTATATTGACAGCAAAGGCTGAGCATGAGGAAGTGTCGCGCTGTCTTGCAAGCTTTTCCAGAGGATATAAATGGATCAAGAAGACGAGGATCGAAGATGAGTCTTTAAAAACAAGTAAGCCGAAGTAAGTTTTATGGTCAGTCCTCAAGTATTCTGTTATAGGTTTAAATGAATCGTGACCATTTAGTTACCATCTAGCAGTGGTCCTAGTCAAGAAACTCTGTAGAAAGCTTCCCTCTACCGAAGACCATCCGAAAGCCCCAGTTCAGTATTACCCTCTAGTAAACATAGCCATAGCTATTGAAAATGGCCCAGTCGATATAGTTGATTTACCCAGCTTTTTTTCATGGTGATGTTCTATAGCTATGTAAACATATGTAAACGCTTACCAGAGGGTAGATCATATTTGGATCATATTTTCAAGGATTCAGTAAGCCCATGAGCATCCGGACCTCTGTCATGAACAGAAATGGGATGATTGAATTTGGGATCCCATAGTTTTGGCCCTTAAAACTTATTAAAAGGATGAAATAATGCCTGCAATTAGTTGGTTATACATCATTAAAAAACAGGAATCCCATTTGTTCCTGATTTCTCGTCAATTTCATATCATGTTACCGTTTGTTCATGGCTATAATTGCCATGAAAGTTGTTTTTTTTGCGAGGAAGGGCCTGGTTTTCGTTGCAGCCCTCAGGTTTGATGGTTACATCTCCCAGGCTTTCGCGTATTTGGATGAGCCTTGGACGCGTCGGGAACGTGGGGATTTCATTGTATGGTGATATATGGTGTGTTTGTGCCTGTTGCACTGCAAAATTTTAGAGTGGAGAGCAGTGAAGAGTTATGTGCCCTTTGGTTTTTTAAAATTTAACGCAGCTATGGAAAATCATCAATTTCAATAGGTAAATCATCATAAATCATCTATTTTTATGGCTTATCAAATCCATGGCTGTGTTAAATAACCACAGTGTACATCTTCTTTCATGAGTTTTCAGAAGCAATTGAGCAGACCAAAACCTTGGCTGAGACTCACCCAGGATGGCTCCAAATATAGGCGGCCACAAGGCGAAACCTTAATGGCCTATGGCTCTGAACAGTTTCAATTGGGATAATAACTCCTGAAACTAAGATTGCTTTTATAAATTGAAAGGCAATTATGAGTATAATGAATTATAATGACTGTTAATGGCCTCTAATGATCATGTTACATCATGTTTCCTGTTCGTTTGCCCATTGAAAATTTCACCCAATTTGCATCTCGGGAGCGGCCGCTTCCAGGAAGCGCAAAAACGCATGGAATCACGCATGGGTGGCCCGGCCATGCGCTTTGGGAAGGGGGTGAGATTCGCCCCATCATGTCATCATGTGCTAACAAGATATCCCCAAGTGAACAGGCCAGGGGGATATCAATCCGAATATGAGACGATATCAATTTTCTATGCCCATCTATGCCACAAACGGTTTTGATCCACACAAAATAATGGTTAAATGGTTCTGATAGAATTTGAGTTGCAGTTGCAGTTGCAAACCATAGATTGTGTTTCTCCGACTAGCAGATTCGTTTGGTTGCCAACTGTTTTTGTGCTACCATGTAACTACCAACTTTGTATAGATCTGGGATGAACTGCCAACTACCATAGCTATACTCAGCAACTTGGTGGTTTGGAACATTTTTCCATACATTGGCAATAATAATTCCAACTGACTTTCATATTTTTCAAGATGGTTAAAACATGTTAAACCACCAACCAGTCTTTTTTATGGCTCACCACCGGAACACATTTTCATCGCCCTGCCGAATGATCATCGGGCAGTGGGTCAACACCTGGCAGTGGGTCGATTTTATGGTTAAATCAATGGTCAAATCCCAGATTTTAAGGAATCTACTCACCTTTTTTGTTCATCACCAAACAAACATCCTTTGCTCTCAAATAAAGGGGATATAAGGGAATTATATATATATATATACAAAAATTATTTTAAATTCCCCATGGTCGTCTCCGAAGATATATGAAGCTCCAAATTTCCGCCGGTTTCGGAAGGAGGATATGGGATAATCCATTAATGAGGACTCCGGTTGTGGTTTATGAAAAACTCCACTTACGAAAGGTGCAGTTATGGCCCTTAACAGTGAAAAAAATGGGACTATAACATATTAATACATATTATAACTCCCAGAACTGGGTCAAAAAAATCATGAAATATCATGAAGATTATCATGAAATAAGCCAGGTTCACATCATCCCGTCGTGATTTTGACCATCCGCTTTCACATCATTTTTCACAGTCAGTGGGATGATCCTCCAAGCGCTGAAGAGATTCACAGGATTTTTGAAAACCATTGGACAAATTCTATGATCTTCTAGGGTAGATGGATTGTTCCTTAAACCGCCATCAAACCATCGTGAAAACCCACGCGTGATATCGCGTGATGAACTCCATTGAAAAAGTGATTTCCCTGTCATGTTCCCATGATGTCTCCATCATTTACCCATGATCTTCCCATCATTTACCCATGATTTACCCATGATGTGTCCAGTATTTTCCCATGATTCCATCATTTACCCATGATTTGCCCATGAAAACAACCCATTTCTGGCTGTGACATCCCAGCTTCGCAGCGCAGGCGTTCTCCCGAGCGTCTCTGCTGCCGTGCCGCCCCGGGTGGCATCGCTTCAACTGGCGACCGAAGTCTTGGTGCAGCTGCGCCAGGGCGCGGAGCAGATCGGGGGAGCCGCCAAGCCCTGGGGAGCCCTGCTGATGTGCCGCGGGGGGGGAAGCTATGGGAAAATGCTAGGGAAAATCGTAGGAAAATGGTAGGGAAAATGGGAAACTGGTGAGAAAATGCTGAGAAGATGGGCAAATCATGGGAAAATCATGGGATTGGTTGAATATGGTTGAATAAATTCAAAGCGGAAAGCCGTTTGTTTGATGGGGAAATGCCTCCAATCCATTGATCTCTGGGCGATGGTTTCAAGGCAACACAAAAACGGGGCAACTGTGTTTTTTGTTTTCACATCAAACAGGAGTTAACAATGTGGATTTCAAACAATCTTTACCTATATATCTATTGATATGTATATATATATAATATGTATAATATCTATATATAATATGTACAATATCTATATATATATATACATAGATCATGTGTATATAGATATATACATACATATAAAATCAAATAAATATATACATATATCGTTGATATATCCAGCTACCATATAAGACCTTTTAAACCCACTTATTTCAACCAACTTGACGATGACAGGCACCCCTTAACGGAACAGCCCCCTGGCGCAGGTTGCTGAGCTCCTGCCCGGGCGGCGAACGCCAAGAGCTGCTGCTGAAGGCCCTGCGGGTAGCGGCGCCCATAGGCGACACCGCGGGGCAGCTGGCGCGCGCGGTGGTGGAGGATGATGTGCAACGGACGCAGGTGCCGTCCCTGTTGGATGCTCGGTGGAAGAGATTCGTCGGGATCCATGGAGCTGAGCTTGTAAGTATATTAAGTATATAGTATATAGATAGAAGTTGAAAAGAAAGGACAGATTTGAATCAATCTAAATCCTAAGTGTGGGGTTGAACATGGTAAGTTTGGATAACGGTGAGTGTATTTGGAGGATGATCCCTGACGATACCACTTAGTAAGCGGATAGTTTGATCAAGAGGTCCGATTACTCACCAGGAAGCCTATCAGGAAAGGCTGGTGATTTGGGAGATTAAGATGGGTTGAATTTGTTTGGGTTGGTATCCACAAAGGCTCGTAAGTTGGCCATGAAGAAGGAGCTAGTGAACTCTGGGCCAGAAATGGGGAAATGCCGGACCTAAACCAACTAGATACAAGATGATATACAAGTAATTTTCTATAAATTCTATTAAATTATGTTTATTCTAATGTTGTTTTACTTTTTCCTGGGTACCCTCATAGATGATTTTCCCACTAAAACCTCCATGTTTTTTGGGGATTTTCCATTGCCATGCTTGATTACCGGAGGGCTACGAAGGGGGCAGAGCAGTGAGTTACCCAGACAATCCATGATCATCGTTCTGAGATGGTTCCTGTTATTTGGCCTGGAGGACATGAACCCTGCAGGACATGAAGTATCTTGACATATATCAAAGCCATACATGGATAGTGTAAGGCCCAGGAACTAGCGATGGAATGTGAACCAATGATGTAAGTCCAAGGATTGATGTTTTTTTTTGGACACACCTGTAGGATCCTGTAGGGACCTAAGTGTGATGATTGTTGCCTTTGTGGTTAGGTGCTGGCGGAATCGGGTTCAATGGATTACACGAAAGAAGATGAGCTCCGCTGAAATTTATATATAGTGCACACGACCAATATTGCACAATCTATAAATTCCGCTGAATGTTTGTTTTTCAATGTGTTTTTCTTAGCTTCAGTGCAACTAAGCTCGAGTTGTTTGTCAATTAATTGCGCTGAAATGGTATATGATTCTGCTGTCAATCGGATCCCGGCACATCGCAGTGAAAGATCACTCTTTGAGGAAACACCTCCAGTGTCATTCAGATGTTCATGGATTTTCCATATGTAGCACTAGGCCAATCTTACATGGATACTTTAGTCCTTTAGTCTTTTGGTATTAATGGGATTATCTACTAATCAGCAAAAAACCTAGTTTTTTGCAGGGTATGTAAGATTGGCAATGAGCACGTTGTATTGTATGTTAGTTGCAAATATATGTCACACAACCAAAACATAAATTTAAGCAACCAGGATATGCAGATATAATTTGATATAGTAGATATGGTGGGAATACACATAGTCAACAGCATTCTATCGGCTTGTCCAAAAATGTGAACCGGATACTCTCAGACATATGTTGTACCTGTCAAAATCGTATCTTTTGTCTGACCTACAGCAAACTAACAGAGATATGGAAAATCCACCAGGAAGGTAAATCAGTTCATTGAGAAACCATTGTTGTTGTCCATGTTGTTGTGTTGTTGTACTGGAAGGTATTTTTATATTCTTTTGCAATCAGCATATAAATTCGGTTTATAACCATACACGTAGATGTTTACCGTTTGTGTTATTAGATTGCTAAACACACAGACACACATTTTTTTCTGGCGCCGCAAGACGTATTGTTTTTGCAGTGGATATCAGATATCAGGGGATCCTCAAACTACATCAAACTACCAAGTAGATCAACATGATATTTTATTACAAGGCAGGATATTCCCCATTGAAGGAGCCATCAATTGGATCCAATCCCTTAGTTTTGGACAACGCCATGGACAAAGCCATGTTTGATGACGGTACCTTCGGTGGTGCCCAATAGATGGCTAAAGTTAGTTAAAACAAATCCAGAATCCCACTTAATCACTATCAAATCAGCATCAAATCAGCATTGGATCACCATTAAATTCATTAGATCCGACATAAGTGGGGTTTAATTCACCATTAGATCCCACTGAATCCCACTGATCCCACTGAATCCCATTAAATTCATTAAATTCATCTTGATTCATCATTAAATTCAGCATCAAACTAATGGGGATTCAGTGGGACCATATAGCCTCGACCTGGCTGGACGCCCTTGAGGTCTCTGCGAATGGGCTGCACAGTGCGCTGACCCAAGCCTTACAGCGGCTCAGTGCTGCTTCTTTTATGGACGGGCGGCTACGAAGCGGTCCCGGCTGGTAGGAATAACTCATAGAGAGGTATGATTTGGGTATGAGTCAAAACCTTGGTACCCTAGTGAACCCCAAATAACTGGTAAACGGATGTTCATCCCCCCAAATATAGCAAGATTGGTTTTGATACATCCCCATATGATATGAGTAGGAGGTCACTTGATCGGACCCCAAATGGCCGATATGTTCATGAATCATAATGTCGTATCCAGAAATAGAGATATGTCAACAATTTGAGACCCCAAGTTATCCAATCACGGGGTTCTTTCTGTTTCAAATGGAATAGCTGAAATGTTGAAGGTTAAGTGTCATCATTTGCAAACATATCTACAATACTGCCATACTGCCTATGCATTATTGGATACATATATATATATATATAACCAGCAGTATTGTTTTTGGGGATGTAATTTAAACTTGGGAACATGATGCTAGATCATGGAATGGCCGGGGACATCATGTATTATGTTTCCAGACAAACCCATCCGGGTCTATGCTAACATCGTGGCAATCATGAAAGAAAACATTATGATGATCATATTTCGTCATGGTTCAAGTGTTTGGCGGTTGGTTGTACACGGTGGTGCCCCAGTTCGTTAGCTAAGTTGGTGAACATAACTCCAATAACTATGGTTTATGGTAGATATATCTATACTTACGTCATGGCTTATAAACCAACAAACATAACTGGGGGGGTACCACCTTGTAGACTGGAACACTGGGATCAAAGCATCCAGAAAAAAAACCCGAGGAAACGGTTTTCCAGATTTGGCGCTGACACCACCAGGGTGAATCACCGTAAAAGTACTAAAAGTACAAAGTTATATATCTGTATGTAATTACTGTGAGGGTCTAGTTGGGTCTAGGTAAATCATAGCTGTTCATCATAGAATTTATGAATTTATCACCATCTACAAGTAGTTTGAATCTTGAATATTATCGTTATATAACTATGGTTATTGTGAAAATTGTATGGTATTGTGAAAATGATATGGTGATATACTATGGTTATTGTTATATAATCTATAATATTATATACCCTTTCCAGTAATGTAACAGTTAGCTATTGAAACATGGCCATTGAAGAAAGTTGATTGACCTATGATCATTGGTGTTTTTTGTTACATAGCAAACTGTTAATTTATCAGAGGGTATCAATCATCACGATTAATCATTTCTTATTAACCATTATTAACCATGGTATCAGAGGCTAATTAGTATTAACCATATGAATCTTCAGAAAAACCATCATCATTATATAAAGCATATTAACCAGTACTAACCATCATATTCTCACCATGGTATCAGAGGCTAATGTGCCCTTAAAGCCACGGTATTCTCGGTCTGGGTTATCGGTCTGGAGAGATCATCGAGAAAATGATGATGTCATCTTGAGGTAAAGCAAGTAAACCTGGGCTATGGGATTTGCTGCATGCAAAGAAAACAAACAAATATGTATAAATATATATATATATATAGATCTATATAAATATATATAGATAGGTAGATAGATCTATAGATAGATAGATAGATAGACACACACACATATATATATATATATATATACATGATATTATATATATATATCATTCACAGCCACCACAGTACATCACAGAAACCAAATTTCAGGACCAAAGAGAGACATTCTGCCACTGACATGAACGGGCATAGAGTGTGCATAGCGTTCTGCCATTTCATATAGACCCCCAACCGACCCATCATGTCCGCGATAGGAGCGGGAGATCACTATCCTGATTCGGGAGGCACGGAAAGTGGTAGGTTAGAGGGTGAGCTCTTCGTATAACATCCAGCTTAAAACGTGTTTTTGTTTCCCAGGGTAGCTAAGATTCGCAAACGCTAGCAATGTATTTGGATGGTGGTTGGAAAGCGAATTACCTGATACACAGATATCCTCAGATGGGGAAGGAATTGGGTTTGTTCCGGCTTGAGCTTAGGCTTCATCCATGGTACGTGGCAGAGATCTCGTGTCAGCGATCTAGACTATGATTGTGTGGCTGAGTTCACAACATATAATTATATATATATATATATGTCAAACATTATGATTTGTTGTTCAAACACGGTCAACACACTTTTTCTTGGCTGGTTGTTGTTTTTTTTTCCATTTTGTTTCGCGATTGCTGGTTCATTCAAAATTGGTGATGATGCTCATGATCATGCATGATCACCATCACGACATGCCAACATTTGTTGCTTCCGCTCACACTTTTGATTTCTTTCTACATATTTGCACAGGTGGAAGTCTCTCCTTCTGGTGCCGCGGGAAATTCAGCGATGCATTTGGCGGTGGAGAATTGCATCAAGAGCAGCTTGATGATGTCATGGGTCAAGCGGTTTGAATCCATACTAGTATAGGTGGCTGATGTGAACCAACAAAAAGAGTGGGAACAACATGGGGAAGCGATGCCGTGAACTCTCTGCAATGTCACTGGAATGATGGGAATTGGACTGGGGATGAGTGGGGTAACAAATTCAAACTAGCCCAACTTTTCAGGTGAGTGGATTAGTCCAATTTATCCAGATAAATTGTGTCTTGTTTATATAGATATGTTTGGGTACTCTCAGAAGATGCGCAGCAATTTCGATTTCTTTCCGTCGCTCTGGTTGCCGTGGACCGTTTTTTTTTTTCGTGGCTGCGGGGATATCCATTCAAAATCTCGAGGATCTTGACCAAGTGAATGGGATACAGTGCCCAAGCTGGTCAGCAGGACAAGTTCCAGGGGGTCTGGAGGGAAGTTCAAATGCTTGGTGCCACTGCCACATCTCGTGGCGGCACAGTGCAGAGGGCCGGCAGATCAGAAGCAGCTCACGCGACATTTCCACCCATTGGTTGTCCTTTTGTTGGCCTGTGGATGGAACAGCAAACGAACCAATCTTCATGATGGCGGCAATCGGTGTGTCCAAATTTCATGTGGATCCGATAAGGGCTATCGCATGCTATCTCTCTACATTTATATAGCCTAAAGTTCAATCCAAATGCACATAGCTGTCCTGACATGTCCTGACGAAGTCTCGTGACACGTGCATCTTCGCGATTGACTTGACTCGCAACTTGAGGGATTGATATTTTGACTCGCCTGTGGGCATGGGTCCAAGCCCATTGCTGGTTTCGGGGAATGGGTTGGGCCAATGGATTCTGCTGAATGCAATCTGAAACATATCCAGGGGGTGAAATAACCACCAAAATAGTGGTAAACTGACAAGATTGGGTGACCGGTTGGTGAACATGTTCATAGTATTTTGTTTGCCATACAAATATAGGCTGTTCTAATGCCCACCCTCGGAACCCACAGATGACAGTTGTATCTCCGCGAATGCGTGGGTGTTTATGATGGGTTACAACCCACTCAGGAAATCTGGGGAAGCACTTAACTAGCTCCCTTAGCCATCCAAGTCCAATGTGGTGCAGTACTTGGGTCACAACATATTTCCCATATGGGACTCCAACATGAATAATCGAGTAGCATTGCCAATGGTTCTTGGGGGGTAGTTGATACTAGGCGGAAAATATATGAAAATATTATATTGACAGGAGTGAGTAGGGATTATACCAGACCAGGACTAAGGCACAGCTGCAAAGCCCAGCTAACCACGGCCTCGCGGCCCCTTGAGGCATGGTCCATTCTCTTCGCAGTGGTCAAGGGCATGTTCATCCTTCCTTGTGATTTGGCGATGGTGACCCAAAACGGTTGTCATACAGACTTGGTGAATGGATAAGATACCGTATTTCATATTGGTATCGATTTATAGATAGATTGATCGACTTGATTTGTTTGAATTTTACAGATTCATCAGATTCTGATGACATTGGATTTGATTAAGATAGTATAATTAAGCTCAGATTTTGTAGATGAACAGACTGACTGACTGACTGACTGACAGATAGTTAGATGTATTAGATCCAATGGATATAATGAATCTAATAGATGTAATAGATGTAATATTCGTAATAGATGTATATAGACTGACACTGAGAGATAGGTAGACTGAGAGATAGGTAGATAGGTAGATAGGTAAAATAGGTAGATAGGTAGTTAGATAGATAAGTAGATAGGTAGATAAGTAGATAGGTAGATAAGTAGATAGGTAGGTAGATAGGTAGATAGACAGACAGATAGATATTATACAACGATCGATAGATAGAATACAACGATTGAAAGCGGCCAAGTGATCACCCCTTCAATTTACTATCGATGTGAAAAGGAGAAACCATCAGTACTATAGTTCAGCAAAAGGAGAGGCTTGCAAGTTGGTTTTTGCCATCAACCACTACGTTTGGTAGTGCCCCAATCCTTAGCGAATAGTTGCTTGGAAAAAGAACAGGTTAGCTGCAATGATAGCTATTAACAGTTATAACTGGCTTATTTCATGATATGGATCTGGGTCAAAATGGAAGACCTAGGGGACCACAGATGTTAGTCTAGTTTAGTATTCACCATCCAATTATTGGGGTACCTAATTTTGACCCATACCCATATATATATTAACCGTAGTTACAGGAGTTATTTCATCCCGTTTGGTTTTTGAAAAAGCGCCATTTTTTTTTTCCTTTTTTTGAAAAACACCACGGCACGGAGGCGAAATTTTCTCGAAAAAAACAGGGATGCTGGGGATTCCATGTGAAGCTATTGAAAATGGCCATTGAAATCGTGGATTTTACCCATGAAACATGGTGGATCTTTCCATAGTTTTTTGTAAACGTTTACCAGAGGGTACATGGAGTGCTTGTCACTTTTAAAAGCGGCTTTGCTTTGGGCAAGGTCGGATTTTGATCACGGAAGGATTCAGGATCCATTTGAGCAAAAAATCATCAGAAACGTAGCTGGAAAATCCCAGAGCTGGAGGCTTAAAGCTGGGAAAATCATCGAACTAGGCCATTTTTTATATGTGTCTATAGCTATATATGTTTGATGAGTGGTATGTGGTTGTAACATCAACATATCATCAACATGTTGACATGCTGATTGGAGACAAAGAACCCACCTGCAGCGATGGAATGCGTTTCGGAAGTATGAGGATCTTCCAGCTAGCCATGTTCGATTACCAGAGTGGATTTATCCACTAGTTGTAGCAACCATAGATGTCCTTTCCCATTGGTTGGTTGGTTAATAGAGGGGTTTGAAGAAACCCCTTTAACAACAGGTAAATGATGATAGATGGTATACCAAACCGGCCCCTCTATTTTTACCAAAAGGACATTATTTGCAGCAACTCCAAGAAGATAGAGAAGTAAAATCCTACGAAAAAAGCACGTGAAATACATGTTTACATCTTTGCTATAATAGCCACATTCAGTTGTTTCAAAAGATTTGCTTTGTGCCCCCTGCTGCATCAACCGACGGTCCCAGACAAACTCAGGACATCTTTGTGTCACTTGGTCTACTCTTCTGCGGAGGTGTACCTCGGCTAAAACGCGCAACGAGCTCTGGTTCGGGAGTGCGAGCGATTGAAATCTTTTGGCCAGAGCGACCAATGGCTAGTTGGATGTATATATATATGTATATAATTATATGTGTCCAATACAATCAGATTGTATGTATGTATTGGATGTATGTAATACAGGAATATGTGTGAATTGCATTACACACATATATATATACATATATATATATATTTACATTATTTTAAATCAAGGGAATTCTCATCATTCAACATTATCTACATAGGATTTCTGATTATTCAGCAGTGCCTTCCACAAAAACTTCCCGCCCATTGACCTTTCCCATGTTGATCACCGATCCTGCAGGTGTCCACTTAGATGGGCCATGGGGTTAGTAACTGCTTCGGATCTGTGTTACACCCCCCTTTTGGCTGGTTATAGCTTCTTATACAAGGTAATGTCATGTGATGCCCCATAGTTGGCTATGTGGCTTACAAGTCCATTAACTAGGATTTATGCTATACATATATATATATATATATATATATATCTATATCTACACTTAATGGGCTAGTTGGACTAAATGGCTGTGTGAACCAATTTGTAACCAGAGGGCACCGGGGTCACCATGTACAATCCACTGACGTCATGATTGGGACATCACCCACCTACTAACCACCTCTTACCCTGTAGTAAACGGGGCCTCACCTTGTGGTAAAACGTTCCACACTTATATCCTTCAAGCCGATTATATCTGGCCTATTTCATGATATGTAACCAACTAGTTGCAGGAGTTACTTCATCCCCTTTGTAAGTGTTAACCCATCATTTTCCCATGATGTTCCTCTCAATTTCCAATCTCTTAAGGGCAATGAAATCCCCACATTCCATGGTAGATAATATCCACAGTTGATGATCTATCGTTAACAATCCACCATAGTTATCAGTTATCAATAGTTATCATAGTTCAAGACACATAATCTATAGTCAATAATCTATAGATATCTATAGATATCGTTAAGAATCCACCATAGTTATCATAGTTCTGCTTCCCGCCAGGAAGTTCGGCATCCTGGCGGCCCAAAACGCGGTGCTGACGCTGCTGCTGAGCCGCGTGGTGACGCCCAGCATCCTCCGCGCGAAGGCGGCCGCAGGCGTTCCGCCGGGGACGCCGCTGCCGGAGCGGAGCGCCGAGCTGTCGCGGTTGTTGTGCCCGTGCTGCTTTAAAGGGCGGGGAGATCATGGGGATGAGATGATGATGTTTCGGATATAGATGGATATAGGAATATAGATGAATATCTGCTTGGTGGTGACTGGAACATGGCTTATGTTTTTCCATATGTTGGGAATAATGTGGAATAATCATCCCAACTGACTTTCATATTTTTCAGAGGGGTTGAACCACCAACCAGATACAGTTTATAGTAGTTTATAATTAATATCATCGGGATATATCATATATATATGGTTTCGACCTGCCCGCAGCAATAGTATACTTATTAAGTTGGCCACGTTTGGGTATACCCCATTTACAGTCACACCCATATACTACAAGAAGGGTCCTCAGTTCCAAGTAAGTTCAGAATACCGTTGAACTGTAGACGTATCCACCATATATCCAACATTTATCCAAATTGGAAATTGACTACTTATCATAAACCATAAGTCTCCAATAATTGGTGGTTCAGTCGCTATTTTCAAAGCCAAGATACTCCACTTTCTACCCATCTGTTGCCCACCTCAGCTGTCACCATGAGGCAACGCATTGCGCATTTCGCTCATCACGAGGATCAGTCTTCGCGAGGGGAGGCGTCTTAGATCGTCGAAGTGGCCGTAGACGGGGAACTGGTTGTGTACATGTCGTATCCAAAACGCGAATTGCTGGGGTGGTTATACACATATTTATATAATATACCGACCTAATGGATTGAGACATACCACTCTATACCATGGTATAGATATGGAAATCTAATGGGATTCGGAAAGTGATCCATCAATGGTGGGCTTTCAGTGTCCTTAAATGGGATGAAATAGCAACTGCAACTAGTTGTTTTATATATTATGAATCATGAAACAAGCAAGTTATAACTGGCTTGAGGGCTATAGCTGAAGGCGACTTGCCATAACACACAGTGTGAACAGACAAATAAGATATAGTAGTGTAATTACATATATATATATATATATATACATGTACATATAGATATTTACGTATATATATACATATATATAGCATCCCCAAGGTCAGGTCATAGGTCATTTCACTATATATATATACATATTTACATATTATATATAATACATACATACATACAATGTGGGGCCCCCTAGTTATATGTTGGTTTATAACCCCATCTAACTATACGTTTAAGTGCCATAAACCCTAGTTATTGTAGTTGTAAAGCAACCTAGCTGTCTTGGGGGCCCCACATTGTATATATATATATACATTATACATTATACATAATAAAAAATAATATGTGTTTGATATACAAATATATGACACTATGACACATATGATATCGTTTATACATCTATATACTATATCTATACAAGGTCGTGCCCCATAGTTAGCTAAGTTGGTTTATAACTCCCATAACTAAATGGTTTATGGCAGATATAACGAACTAGTTAATGTGGTTTATAAACCAACAAACATCACTGGGGGGCACCATCCTGTATCAGCCCCTATATCTTGTTGGATCCACCTGGTGCCAGGCGAGCGTCCCGGACCTGCCGCAAGTCCTGAAACACGTCGCGTCCCTGCGCGAGCTGGTCGCCAGGGTCCTGGCACTGCCGCCCGATGCGCAGCGCCTCGGACGGTTCCGGTGATTTCAGTCTTTTAATGGTGCCTGGAGATTCATTTTCCTGAAAATCACCATTTGTAATAGGTAAACCATCTAGAAATGGGTCATTTTCCATGGCTATGTTAAATAACCAGAGGTTAATAATATTGATAGTACCTCCTGGTAAACTAACAGTTGGACCCTGAAGTGATAGCCTAGTTTTAATGGAAACTCATCTTCCAACCCCGATGACTGCCAGGGTCAACAAGTTAATTTACCAGAGGGTAGGGATTTTTCAAGGATTTTGAATCTCCAGGTGATAATAAACATTAAACATTCAAAAACTGAAGTGATAAATGGTGATAGACATGGTGATTTGTTCCTGTAAGCATGGTGATATGGTGATGAATATGGCTCCAGAATATTTGATCATATAGCTGGTAACTGATTAGAGATATCATTCCGCGATAGTTTAAAAAATACAGTAGGTTTTTGATATGTCATGTTGTTTTTTTGTTTATGTTTATGATGGTGATAAAATGTGATAAATATATGGGTGATAAATAGTTACAACCAGCCTATAGGGCATTTTTTGAATAGTTATAACCATATATTAAAAAAACGCGTTTCATGGTTTATTGGTGATATGGTCATGAATATGGTGATACCCTCTGGTAAACTAACAGTTTGCTATGGAAAATCACAATGTTTAATGGGTAAATCAACTATACATGGGCCAAACGATAGATGATACTGTGGATGGAGGAAATCCTGCGCCACCAAAAGGATGGTTGAAACCCTGTAAATACCGGTTGTTTACCACCTATCAACTGGTGCAGGATTTCGCAACCATCCACCGCATGGTGATGAATATGGTGATAATATGTTGATACATATGGCTCCAGATTATTTGATAATATGCTGATAAATGATCAGATATATCATTCTGATAATAGTTTATAATTTATAAGATCTCTTGATTTTTCATATGAGTATCCGACAAAAGCATTGGAATCCTAATTTTGTCGTGCTTTGCCTTGGCCTTTCTGAGGTTGCACAAAACCGATACCTCCAGGAGTACTGAAATCCTCACAACAGATAGAGGATATGGCATTAAATTTAACAAATAAACTTGTCAGCTACTCATATGGAGGTTTCCTAAAATGGGAGTGCCCCTAAATCATCCATTGTATTTTTGAATTTTCCATTATAAACCATCCATTTTTGGGTACCACCATTTATGAACACATCCCTATGTTGTTTTTTATGATTACCCTCTGGTTATTTAACATAGCCATGGTATAGATGGCCCATAGAAATATTAAAAATGGGTGGATCTTTCCATGGCAAACTGTGAAAGTCATAACCAGATGGTACACCATGATATATCATTATATAGTCCAGTAAATCACCATTAAACCACCATTAAATCACCATTGAATCCAGGTCATCCAGGTCATTAATGTTGATCTCTTTGAGGCGGCTTAGGGATTCGTCATGGTTCATGTTCATCGATGGATCATGGCTTAGGGGTTGGTAGATGATGAATGTCCCGTTTTGGGGAATATCTGTTGGAGATTATGGGTATACCGTTTCACCATGTTAATTGGGACATTTACCAACCCCTGAAGCAGATTTGGATAATATGTTGATCTCTTAGATTGGCCCTGGTTGATGGGCTAAGTGGTGAATTAGTAGGGTATATTCCCGCAGACAAGTGGATTGTAATTGCTAATAATCAGTTATGAAACACTCAACTCCTCCATAGTGAAGCTTGCTCCAAGCTACCATAGGTATGATAGCCAAAATGGCCTCAATTGATCATTTGATCTTTATATATATATATACTGGTTGGTGGTTTGGAACATTTTTTATTTTCCATAATATATGGGATGTCATCCTCCCCATTGACTAATATTTTTCAAGATGGTTAAAACCACCAACCAGTATATATCAAATTCACAGGCCTTGTACTTGGCTCCTGGGGCCCGCAGCCCAAGATCCCAAGATCCCAAGGATGGGTCTGAACGGATCCCCAGAAGCTGAACCGCCTGTGGGAGGGTCACGTCTGTGAAAGCCTGGAGGTCATGGGTACAAGGTTGTGCCCCCAAACGATAGCGTTCAGTTGGTGCAAATAACTCCAATTTCACTATGGTTTATAGATGTTTATAGGTGATATATCTATAGTTAATGGGATTATAAACCAACTTATAACTGGGGGCTATAGTTAATGGGATTATAAACCAACAAACATCACGGGAGGGGGCACCACCTTGTAGGGGTGGGGGGATCATCCCCATAGTTGGCCAAATAATTTCAGGTGAGTGAAATATTCTCATTTACCAAGATATGTTTTTGTCGATGGAATACCCCAACCTGTAATGGCTGTAAACATAAGGAAACCATGATCAACCATCATTTTTTTCGGTAATTACCCTATTTTTTCGAATAAAATATATCATATGTAGGTTACATCTTACAGACATTTGCAAGTTAACTGCTTGGGTTGGCAACCAGCTATGGGTAGTTCACAAGAGAGTTGACGTTCCATACACTTCTTTCGTTCAGATTCACCTTCAACTCCTGCCTTGTATCATGTTTAAGACAAAGGCACAGTTCCCAAGATTGATGTGTGCCATTGTGTGTCCTTCCCTTGTTACTATTGTTGCTTCGCTAATGATCTAAGGAAACATCCAAAGCAAACATATCACAGCATTCATCCCAAACATGGGTTCAACAAGATTAAGGTTTAAACAAGAACAATCTTGATGAATTGAACAAACAATGAACAACAAAAAAAGGTTTCAAGAACATCTTGGAATTCATGAAGGAATCATCCATCTACAGAATCTACTGATCAAACAGTTGGATCTTAGCATTGACACATTTCAGATGGTTTATCTCCCTGAATGGAATGATTTCCGTTGAACAAGTGGTTGGACAAGGTTTTGGGATTTGGGATTTCGACCGCCCATGTTTATCACCCCGCTTGAATCCATACCAGTTAGCAACTATCCTTTTGTAGTCAATGGTGGCTGGCTGGAAAATCCCCTTTTTTTTCATGGAGGCTTAAAGCTGGGAAAATATGGCCTATGAATGGGATATTGAAAATGTTGCAATGCTTGATTCCCGGAGGCTACTTGGACAGAACCATCATTATAACCCAGTTCTGTTTATATAGCGTATTTATATAAATATATATATATATATATCAACCAGTGACTGGCTAAAGGCGCAATACCTCTAGTTAAATCGGGTTTTTATCCCTGTGAGTGGTTGCCGCTTTTTTGTTGACATGATCATGAACTGAAACACTAACTACACAAAGTTCCTGCTGTTTTATGCTTACCTTTGCCTATTTTTCTTATTTAACTCAATCTTCTTTTATGTGGTTGACATCTCCAATGTACCTCAATGATTTCAATTTGTTGCCTTCGTGATCCCCAGTCTTTTATAGGTAAGTATGATTGGAATCATCATTGTGCCAACCCCATTGTGAATCATCATTGTTCGTAGTGGTTTGATAATCATTGTTGATTCTGTATCATGAAATGTCACATGCACGTGATGCATATCCTAGTCAATGCTTGTTGATTGCAGTATCCCCACGTTGGGAATTCCCCAAAACATATCATTGAACGTATGATAAACCTCGGTGGATTTTAGGGGCAACTGATTTTCAATCAAACTATTGCTGGTTGGTGGTTTGGAACATTTTTTATTTTTCCATAATAAATGGGATAATCCTTCCCATTGACTATTTTTTCAGAGGGGTTGAAACCACCAACCAGATTTATGTTTGATCATAGTATTTATTTTGTGTGTGAATGATATTTGACAACATTCACGATTATGATGGGTGAACATCTGCAAGAAGACTTATGTATTTGTACCATATGTCATTCAATCTAGTAAACAAATGTTAGCAAATAGCACTAGGTGTGGATTCATTGTCACGTTTGTTTGGTTCAATATCCATAAGAGGATGCTGTATATTAATCATGTCTTCCAATCCTATAGAATAGATCTAAATTCTGCTTGGAAACTAATATTTGTTCTAATGTTGTTAAAACAATAATAAAGCACCCCATGTTTGATTGTTTATACAATCCATTTTTGGTGAAATTGGGAATGATTTATTATTGTTTTAACCACATTAGGTTGAATCATGAGTTTGCGGGCCTCACCTTGTGGCTTCCTACCCCTTGCCGGCCCCGCGTGCCGCCGAGGAAGACAGCGAAGCCGCCGCCCTTTGGATCGTCGAAAGCTGCCGCCGTTGGAGCGCCGGCGTTCCCTCCGTCCCATCGCTGGACACGGCCGCCAGCCCAGTGGGCGACCCACCGGGCCGAGCGCGGCAGCAGCAACAGCAGCTTGAAACAAAGAACTGGCTGATTTAATGGGAAGTTCATGGGATTCAATGGTGAATTTAAGCGACTTCACCGCCAAAAATAGGGATTGAAAGTTGTAAGTCATGAGTTTGCTCATATGAGTCGTCTAATTGTTGAATTATCGGGAGATGACATAATTTCATATAATTTCGATAGTTGGATGGGTTCATAAACTCGAGAAACCGCCAAACATCACTGGGGTCACCACCTTTGTACTGATGGTCAAGATAGGGAATGCTGGTTCATGTTTTTTCTGGTGCGATTTAATATAGGATTTAGTGGATTTAATGGAGTATTCAATATGATCACGTTATTGATCTTCCTTGTGTTTTTTATGCTGGTTTTCATGAGGGTTTAGTACGAGATTGAACTATCGGGATTAAGTATTGGTTTTGCGATATTTTTGGTACTTAATACGGCCTTTAAATGCCTTTATATAATGGTATTTTTATTGTGTGCCTATACAAATAATTGGAATTTAGGGGATTTAATGATATATAATGAGATTATACAGTACAATCCACAGTGGAATTGGATTGAATTTATCGAACATCTGTGATGAAACCATGGATTCTTTCAAGTACGCTCGGGTTTTCCATTCAGTTGTATTATATATGCGTTTTGCCATTGTCCAGTTGCACGTGTATCCCATTCTTGTCGCTATATCAACGCTTTCGCTTGTGACTGTACATCTGGATCCAATTTTACGGATGAAAAACATCGAAAACAATACATGCTCTGTTATATAATCGTGCCTGATGAGTGTTGACCCGGCTCCAGTCGTTTGGGGGCCCATAAGATGGGTATTTAATGTGATCTGGGAATCGAATTGTGCATTTTGCTTGTTGGGTGGATGGGTTTATAGTTATATGATGTTATATCACATGTTTCGACCAGGAAAACATGTTGTGTTTTTCCTTTGACGGATTTATCTTGCCTGGTTAAACAGGTTTAATCATCAATAAACAGTTTGTTTCCTGCTTACTTCCCAATATTTGCCTAATCACATTTCATGAACTTTTCCGTTTCTCCTAATGACATATAACATTATAACCCACTAGTTACTAGTTGCTGGAGTTATTCCCATGCATGTAAGGCACTGGTTTATAGGGCCAGATGCTGGCCTTAGGCTTCAGTTGGCCGCCGGCGCCTTCGCTCGTTTGGGCGACCCGGCGCATGCCGCACACGCGATGCCGCAGCCACCGCGTGGGCTGGGGTGAAAAAAGAGTACCCCACGCGGCCTGGGAGATGGGAGATGGGAGATGGGAATACAACAAGCCTGGGTCGTTCAAGAAACCCCGCCTTTCCGGTTTTAATTGGAAGGACATATAGGAAAATTGATCTTAGAATAAAAATGCGAAAACACGAGGTTCTAGCAAGCAAGTGCAAGGGCGAGTGCAAGCTCTGTACTACCTACTATTATTACTACTACTAGACTACTACTAGACTCCTGCTAGACTACTACTACTACCACTACCACTGCCACCACCACCACCACCACGACTACGACTACTACTACTACTAGTAGTAGTAGTAGTAGTACTACTACTACTACTACTAGCTATATTATGTATATATATATATATAATTTAAATTGCTAGTTGAATGACATGTTCATGGGATATAAATGGGATATTAATGGGAATTCAGCCATTCTTTGAGTTTTGTTTGGTACACCAGCCATGATATGGAGATATATCGGGATGTAGTGGGAAAATCTTGGATTTGGATCAACCAAGCATCTTTTTTAGAGGATTTTAACTGATTGACTTGTTCAGGTTCAGCAACCTGCCAAGGTCTCAAGGTTAACATAGGTCAGCTAGTTGACTTTACTACTCCTAATTCCTGGGTTTGCGGTTTGTCGATTATTTGTTTTATTTTTTCCAATGGGACGTCCACTGGGAAATCGATTCAGGAAATATGTGTGAATCTGTGTTACCTTTCTTATGCGGGGGAGTCCTTTAGCAGATTCAAGATTCTTCGAGGTTTTTGGATGAATTTATGAGCAGTTTTGGAGAATGTTTAGCAGTTTTGTTTTATTGATGTCACATTCTGTTTTGATGTTTGTCCCAGGATTTCAGCCTTTTTGTGTTTTGCGTTTTTTTGTTTGGAGGGATTTGAGCAAAAAAATGTTTTCTTTGATGATTGATTCCATCGCTGTCACTTTGCTCGCAGGATTTCAGTTTTTGGGTTATTTTTCAGAATATGTTTGGAAGGAACCCACTGTTTGGGTGATGTTTCAGAATATGGTTTTGGGTGATATTTCAGGATCTCATGATGGTTTTGGATCCTACAATTGTTTGGACTGTTTGGAGGAACCCACTGTTTGTTTTTTCGGGAGGGGAATTGAACCAGCCCAAAATGAACATGAAACTTACACTAGCCAGCAAAAAACATATTGTCGGACTGAGATCTTGGGATGTTAGTCACTAAAGAAACGTCAGACACTGGAAATTTACTTTTGAAATTATGATAGTGGAGAAGCAAGAATGGGGGATTCCATCAGGGTGTAAAAATGTGCATTTTATTGAATTGATATCTTGATAACTACAGTCTGGTAATTTGACATAGCTACGCTACGCATCATCATTTTCAATAGGTAAATTATCCTTTTTTTAGGCCATGGCTTCGCAAACTGTTGAATGACCAGATGGTGAACATCAGCGGCCGACAGCCAGGTGACAGATCGATCGAGACTGGGAACGGCCAGACAGTTCAACGACGAAAACTTCATGAAGGCTGGGCCATACTGGGCTGCTGGGCTGAGCAGTGCACCGTTGAAGTTGATCATTCAAAAGGTTTTGTCCACAATAAACATACAAGATGACAAAAATCGACCATTTAAGATCATTGAAGTAGATTATTTGCCGAATGGGAAAAACCTTGGTTTTCCACATCTGTGTCAGTTTACCCTAGGTATACCATCCAATATATGGACATGTCGGGACTATCATCATCCCTGAGCTCCGAATCGAGAAACCCTCCGGTTTTTTTTAAACATGGCCACAGTTGATTTACCTTTTAAAATTATATCATGGCTGATTTTCCATAGCTATATAAATATAAATAAATATATAAATGTTAGTTTACGGGTAAATATGTCTTGTCACTTAGTGCTTTTTTGTTTGACATCAACATGGTTATGAAAGTCCCAATGTTTGGTTGTTTCAATTCTGTCGGATCCATACTTTCTTTTTGTAGATCCCCAATGCTGTTTGCTCAAATCATGTTGAACCGTTTAAATTTGATGATTAGATCATGTTAAATCACCATTTGGGGTTTTGGATGCTTAGAATATCTTAGAATCATATGCTTAGATCATATTAAACCGCCATTTTGGATGAATCAGTCAGAATCACCATGTTGGAAGCCATGTTGAAGCGATCCCGGCACGTGTCCTTGTCGCAGGTGGACCTGGTACCCCAAGGCCAGTTGTGGCTGAGCATCGAGGATGTGGCGCATGAACCATGAAGTCCGAGAGCCGAGAGCCTGTCTGGCAGATGGACTTTTGGATCATGTATCAGTGCCCTCAACATTCGATGGGAATTACCATCTGGTAAACGTTTACATAACTATGGATAAATCACCATGTTTAATGGGTAAATCAACTATTTCGACTGGGCCATTTTCAATAGCTATGTTAGTTTACCAGAGGGTATATACTTGTAATTAGAACTCCTGTAACTAGTTGGGTTTTTATCATGCAATGAGCCAGGAACAAAACTGGCGTAAGAGGGCCATCCTTGTGGTCCTTGTCAGGATTTCCCTGCTATATGTTTGATTACCATCGGGCATGTTTCCATGTTTCTTATATATATATATTCATCATAAGATGGTCAGATCATGATTACTCGTATAAGACAAGATATCCATCACACAAGGCAGTGTTACCTAACTCTCGGTGCTCTGGCAGAAGCGCTTCATCTTAGATAGGCTGCTGCTATCTGCTGTTTTTTTTCCCATTGTTTCAATATTGTTTACATCTGGGGGCCCCCTTGTGATGTTTGTTGGTTTATAAGACATTATAAGACCCCATGAATACTAGAGTAATATTTCCCATAAACCAACTTATGACTGGTGGGGGGGGGCACCATCTTGTATAATTGGATCCCCATACTGCCAGTCAGCTCTGATTGGCAACCCCTTCAGTAGTTTAGTTGGCCATGTATGTATGTATATATATACCCTCGGGGCCCCAGGTTTCCGCAAGGGGTGGGGTGGGGTGGGGCATGTTAACGTCATGTTCATGGTACGTTGATGGGTGGGGTGGGGTGGGGCATGTTAACGTCATGTTCTGGTACTTTGATGGGATGGTGTGGACATGTTTAAGGTCATTTCATGGTCGTTGATGGGGTGGGGGTGGGGTGGGGTGGGGCATGTTAACGTCATGTTCATAGTAACGTTGAATGGGAGGTGTGGGGTGGGCAATGTTAAGGTCATGTTCATGGTACGTTGATGGGTGGGGTTGGGTGGGGGTGGGGGTGGGGCATGTTAACGTCATGTTCATGTTACGTTGATGTACGTTGATGGGAGGGGTGGGGTGGGGTGGGGCATGGTTAACGTCATGTTCATGTTACGGATGTACGTTGATGGGAGGGGTGGGGTGGGGTGGGGCATGTTACGTCATGTTTCATGGTACGTTGATGGGAGGGGTGGGGTGGGGTGGGGTGGGGCATGTTAACGTCATGTTCATGGTACGTTGATGGGAGGTGTGGGGTGGGGCATGTTAAGGTCATGTTTATGCTACGTTGCTGGGTGGGGTGGGGTGGGGCATGTTAACGTCATATTCATGGTACGTGGAAACTTTGAAAAAGAACATGTTGCAGCATGTTGCAGCAGGGTGTTGACGTTGAAACAACAACGAGCAAAAAAAAATGGCGACTATCAACATGTCCCGTTTCATGCTAACATAAAAAACATTGCAAATACCAATAGAAAAAACAGGGTTATGGCGCCTGTAGGGCGACCACGCTTTCTGCGTTGATTTAATGTGACTTTGATCCTGTTTTGGATTCATACCCCATTATTTACAGTGTTTTGGTACATGCCAGCTTCAAATGCTTCGTGTGGAAGCGTCAAAAGTGCTGTAGGCGCGCCTAATTTTTTCCAATTCTTGTATTTGGCTATAGCGAAAACGTCATTTCTGACAAAAAAACTCGTTCGAAAACTTCATCTCATGCCCACACTTGTTTTGCCAAGCTCCTTTTTTTCACTTCTTGCTTTTCTTCTACTGGTTATTTCCAGTAACCCAAGGCTTCATTGACTTTGGACATCAAAGCTCCTAAACTTTCTAAAACATCGGATCCTTCACTTGAGATCCTGTGTCTCCAGTACCACATCCATACATAGCGCTGCAAGCGCAAACGCATGGCATCCAGGGACAACTGTCGAGTACTCAAAGAGCGAGGCAAAGTTCTTTTGAGTGAATCCCAAATTCTGTCTAACACCTGAGTTCCTCCCAAACGATTTCGTCGCAGTCGCGCTGCCACCCTCGTGGTAAACTCTCCCAGAGAATGCTTCACATGTGTAACACGAATTTTGATTTTTCTTCGTTTTCTTTCTTCTCTCGCTGCTCCACTCCATCCCATGGCTCCATCCGCCATCAGTTGACAACCACTTCGGACCCCACCCCCCACCCCATACGTGCAACGTAGCATCGAACAACGTATGCACTAAATCAACGTAGCATGAACGTTAACATGAACCCCACCCCCCACCCCATACGTGCAACGTAGCATCGACAACGTATGCACTTCAAATGAACGTTAACATGACCCCACCCCCCACCCCATACGTGCAACGTAGCATCGACAACGTATGCACTTCAAATGAACGTTAACATGACCCCACCCCACCCCACCCCAACATGTGTGTACGTACAGTCGACAACGTATGCACTTCAAATGAACGTTAACACAAGGAGAACCCCCTACTTATAACTTGACTTATAACCAGGGTTAACATATGTTATAACTAGGGTTATCTTATGTTATAAATTCCATAACTTATGTTAAACTTATATCTTAGTTATGGACTTATAAGTTAACTTGTATCTTTTAAGTGGAAAGATACTAAAAAGATACAAAAAAGTTAGCAAAGTTAACTTTTTTATTTTCAACTTTTGAAAGTTAGCTCGGTTTGCCATTTTTGCTTCATTTTGTGATCTTTTGCTGCGTGTGGTTCAAATTTAGCGTTTCTTCTCAGTTTTGGCGAGCTCTTCGGTCTTTTGGGGCCTTTTTGCCATGCAAGGGGCGGGTCTGCTTCCAGCTGCTTCTGAGCAGCCTCAGGCTCAAATAGCTAATACTGAGCAGGCTCGGGCTCAAATGCAACAGTGGGCACGCTTTCCGCTGTATTTGACCCAAGACGTTTGGAACATCTTGCAAGGGAGCTCCGAGAGACAGCTTCGGAAAGTGGAATGCGTCACTTCGCATCTTGTAACGTTGGGCTTACGAAACCCTTCGGAGCGGACCATGGCAACCGTGGCTGCTGTGATTGCTCAATGCGATGGCCAAAATATGGAGGATCCAGACACTGCAAAGCAAGTTGCTCTTTTGTCAACTGTGAAGAGTGTGATGAAGACCCATATCATCCGAGCTCGTCAGCTTGGCACTCCGATTGGGGGAGGTTACTTGCAGGAATTGCCTGTGACCTGGGAGCAGCTACCAGGAGAAATGCGCGAGCGCTTTTTTCCGACTGGATTGGTGCAGCCGCCGATTGACCTGAACATTGCATGGCGATCTGGGAATGCGTGGCCAATGCGCAGCACTCATCGTTCTAGGCAATTGCAAGGTGGCCACACTGACTTGATCTCTTCTCAGGCTGGGTATGCTGCTGCAATTGCCCAGCAAGCAGCGGTCACGACGGCTCAGGCTTTGCTTGCTTTGGTGAACCCGGGCGCAGTAGGGCGCTGTTCTGAAGTGCAGCTGCCTGGATTCCAGCAATTTCAGCCTGGGAACCGTGAGATGCCTGTCAGTCGAAGAGATGAGTCTTTGAGGTTGATGTTGGAAGAAGCCAATGCAGCTCCTGCAGCTGCTTGTTCTTCCAGCGTGCCGGCGGCTCCTGCCTCAATGTCTCAGCAGTTGGCCCTGACCAATGGCGAGCCGTCGCAAAGCGTTGGCGCTGTTGCGACGCCTGCAGCACCGTCTGCGGTGCAGCTAGCGGTGGATTCGCAGCCGGAGGGGTCAGCTGCGATGGAGGCCGCGGAGGCGGCGCAGGTGGAAGCAAGTTTGGCTATCTTGGCCAATGCTCATTACAATGAGACGCTGCCTTCAGTTTTGTCGCCGCCCGTGGAGGCGAGCGCATGCAAGCGGCCTGCAGGTAAGTCCGCTGTGAGCGTGAAGAAGATTATGAAGAGGCCTGCTGCTGCAGCAATGCTGGCTTCATCTTCCGAGAAAAGGATTTACCAGAAGCCTGCGGCTGCATCTTCGTCAATTGGACCAAAAAAAAGGCCAGCGGCAAAGACAGATCAGGAGAAGAAGATTACTCGGGCTAAGGCTTACGAGCTGAGGCCAACGGGCTGCGCTCGCTGTCGCCATCAGCGCGGTTGTTGCCCCAGCTGTTGGAAGAAGAAAGGTATGATCCTTGTGGACTGAAATTTTGAGGCATTGCCACTATAGCCGCTTGGTTGGAAAACAGTTTTTCATTTTGGTGTTGCATCATTTCTTGGAGATATTTCATTGGAGATTGATAGGATATATATATATATATATATGTTCTAAAGATATATATAAATATATATACATATATTATATATATATATATTCGTCTCTCTCTCTCTCTCTTTCTCTCTCTCTGTCCATGGTCTGCATATTTTCTTGCATGCAGTATATGTTTGATGTGTGTTTATGGGTTTGCTTCCGATCAATTTTGCTCAAAGCAACATATATTTGTACAACAGTTTTCTCTCGCTTTGCGCAATCATGTGGCAGCCATTTGATTGGAGGCGAGATGAGACCGGTGATTTTGTGCAAGTGCAGTGGCAGCAGCGCGGCATGGGTACTGGTCGCATGATTATGAAAACTTTGCCTGCGCTTTGGCGGGATAGCAAGGATGAGAAGCTTGACTGAAGTCTTGAGTGTGACTTCTGAGTCCCCGAAGCAGCGGCGCACGACGCCTGTTGAGCGATTGCCACTGAAGAAAGAACAGCAAGTCGTGGCAGAAATGATTTTTGCTACATTGGAGGCCTTGCGGGGTGAGAAGGGCAGGTCGATGTCTGCAGAGAGCCGCAATGAGCGTATTCAATCGCTTGAGGATGTATCTTTGGATATTTTGGATGCATGTCTGAGTAGCGCTGATTTGATGAAGATTAAGGCTGTGGTGGAGAAGGTGACCTTTGATTTATAGTGACATACTTTCCGATGGTCGAAAAGAAAGTGCTGCCTCGCAATGTTAGCGAAACAGGAAAGCTGTTTTTTTTCTAAAGTAAGCAGAACTCATAACATGTATGTATCCGCAGCCGTTTTTTCAAGCTGACGGCTCCGGCTGCCCTTCTGTGGTGTATGACGGTGAAGCAGGCCGGGACAGGGTTATGTATAATATATATATATATATATATGTATGTATATATAGATTAATATAGATATACACATGACGTTCAAATAAAAAACACACACAGAAATATCAAGCCTGCGTGCGCGCGGCTGTTTGGGGGCCTGCGTGCGCGCGGCCGCTTTGAAGCCTGCTTGCAAGCCTGCGTGCGCGCGGCTGCAGAGAGTCTGCGTGCGCGCAGCATTGTATAGCCTGCGTGCGCGCGGCTAGATGCAAGCCTGCGTCCGCGCGGCTGCACGGAAAGTCTGCGTGCGCGCAGCAAAGGAGCCTGCGTGCGCGCGGCGTGGAGCATGGCTCGATGGAGCTTATGCTCCGATTGGTTCATGCCTGCGTTCGCGCGGCGGGCCACATGATTGATTTGCCTCACATGTATTTATATATATATATGTGTGATTGAGCACCTCTTAATATAGTTTCCCCACTGAACTATAAATTATCATATACCATTTGTATGAATATATATATAATATATAGATACATCCGTTTTCATTTTCCGTCTTGCCAGGTCATGGCGTCCACTTCATCGGAGGAGCCCGACCATAGACCACGTGGGCCGGATGATGCAGAGGAGGCGCTGCAGGCGGAGCGTGGTGACGCTGGCCTGCCTGATGCGCCGCAGGCGGAGCGTGGTGACGCTGGCCTGGATGATGCGCCGAAGGCGGAGCGTGGTGACGCTGGCCTGGATGATGCGCCGAAGGAAGAGCGTTCAGACGCTGCCCCTCTGGCCAAGGCGGAAGGGGATTCGGCCCTACCGGAAGTGGCTGCAGGAGACAAGACTGCGCCGCATGGAGGAGAAGGCGGCGAAAGCCGAAAGAATCGCCGTGGTGGGTGGCGAACCAAAAGCAACGTGGATCGGCAGCCGTGCTCAATCTGTTGGACAAAGGTGTCGAACACAGAACAAGGTTTGACACAACACCAACAGAGCAAGTATTGCCTGACCTGGCGATACAGGAATGAGGGACACTCGAAATGGGAGGCGGCGGCAATGGCGGAGAGGCAGCTGGCACAGGGGCTGCCGCTGCCGCCGCCTGTGCCCCCAGAGCGTTCCCGCTCAAGGACGCGCAGGGCTTCGCGCAGTCCGTTAGCCCGCGCAAGGAGCTCCGGCCGCAACACAGCCCGCCGCAGAGGGGAAGCGCGCGAGCGCGCTCTGGAAGAAGCAGAAGAAGAGGCCTGGAGAAGGCGTGAGCGCCGAAGGCAGGAAGAGGAAGAGGCGCGGTTGCGCGCCACGGAAGAAGAAGCATATGAGAGGGAAGCGCGCAGAAAAGACAAGGCGCGCGCGCGCGCAATGGAGGAAGAAGAAGAGCTTGCGAGGCAGGACCGCAGAGAACGCAAGGCGCGTGCGCGCGCCATGGAGGAAGAAGAAGAGCTTGCGAGGCAGGACCGCAGAGAACGCAGGGTGCGTGCGCGCGCCATGGAGGAAGAAGAACTGCACAGACAAGAACGGGAAGGTCGTAAGCAGCGCGAGGACCGCACGCGCGCGGTAGAGGAAGATGAGGAACGGAAAGCGTCCAAACGGCGTGAGTCGCGCGCGCGCGCTGCTGGAACAGACGATGCACTTTTCGATGGCATACCTATGTGGGAACTGAAGGCATGCCGCGACCGACTGGTGCGTGAGCGCGCTGGAGAAGACAGCAAAGAGAAGCCTATGGTTCCAGTGTCGAAGGAAACGACTGCAGCAGCTGCCAAAGCTGGAACTGGGCGCGGCAAGGAGCCAGCTGCCGCGCCGGACAAAGAGAGTTCGTCTTACAGCTACTATACCAGCAGTTCCGAAGAGCAAGACGGCAACACAGAGGCGGCGCCCGCGCCCGCTGCAGAGAGCAACCAAGCAGCTGCCAAACAAAAGGAGAAGGCGTCCGTGGCTGATGCCAAGAAAGCCCAAGCTGCGCCCAAGAAAAAAGATGCGGCGTTCGCGCCGGCCGAACCAAAGCAGGCGGCGGCGGCGCCTACGCTGCCTGGCATCGAATTCGTGGATCGCCTCCTGCAGACTGCGATCCGTGAGGGTTTGCAAGGCCTGAAATAGCCTGTTTCACCCCTACCGCACAGACCGCCAGTAAAAAAAGATGCTCTGTAGTTCAAGGGAGTAAGGTTAGCAAGGAATATGACAAAACACGTATGTATATTCAGAAAATCCAAGGGAAAAGTAAAAAATACGTATGTATTTGCCCATACGGATCACAAAACGCGTATGTATTTTCACATGTGTCCTCGTATTTTTGTTGATTGATATGCTATGTCGGAGATGTATTTTTAACGTATTTTTTTGTATTTTTTTGTATTTTTTTTCACACGGGATAACATCAAAAAAAACGCGTATGTATGTTGCTTTCCAAGCAAAAGAAAACCCAAAAACGCGTATGTATATTCCTTTAGAGGTAAGGAAACGCGTTTGTATATTGTACTTTGACAGCCCCGGAAGCAAATATACGAATGTATTTTTCCACAAAACACAGAAAACTATAGAAAAATGAAGAAGATTCTCCGCAACTGTTGCACTCTCAAGACAGAGTTGTGGGTGCGCAGTCAAACGGCTCTTTGCTGTCACTTTTGCCCTCCTTGTTTTGAATCATATATATGACTCCTGCTGAAGATATGGCTACTCCTGCTGAAGATACTCTTGCGAGAGAGATCGAAGCTGACATGGACAGGCACGTGGAGGAGGCCAAAGCAGCATCCGCTCTGGAACCTCCAGCGGACGCGGCGGCGGCAACGCCAGCTGACGCCGCTGTGGATACTCCTGCGCATGACACTGCCACATGTGCAAAGTGCAAGACAGAAGGCAAGGTCGATGAGATGATTTCGCGACCGAGTTTTCGCGTCGAGCTGAGGCACATTTGCCGTCCTTGCAATGCTGTCGCGACGCAATTCCATCGAAGAGGCGTGCAGCTGACGGAGCTTCTGAGCGAAGAGTCAATGGTTGCATTCTTCTCAGAATGTGCGTTGGAGAGGAAGAACGCGGAGGATGGCAGGCTGTTGTTCGCGCGCGCGCGCGCGATGCTGAAGAAATGCATGGTGCAGGAGGTGCGCCGCGAGAAGCGTGGCGGATATGCAGGTGAATGGCAACCTTTGACGTACTGGGAATTGAAAGGCTATGATACTGAGCGCATCAAGGCAACCTGTCCCATGGAAGAACACAGTGCTTTGGGAGAGACTTACAAGGTGTCCATCCACACTGAGTCAGATGAGACGCTGCACGCGCAGGCTGAGCAGCGCATCACGCAGATGGAGTCTGATGCCCAGCAACGCCGGCTGGCGGCAGCATCTGCGCCGGGCGTGCCTGCCTTGGAGCTCGAGGAGGCTATGGAGGCGCCTGCTGCAGCTTCGAAGGGCAAGCGCAAGGGACCGCTCACGGAAGAAGAGAAGCAAGAGAGGAAGCGTCTTAAGACGCTGGCAAAACAGCGCGAAACAGAACGCAAGGTTGCCACAGCAGCAGCTGCCAAGCTGCTGCCCTCTCTGAAGACGTGCCTGGAGAAATTGGAGACGAAGCTGGGCGGCCTCGATCATGACACATTACCACCAGCTACACTGGAGCAAGCAGTGAATGCGGTGGAAGTGCTGACGGAAACCATTGCCGGAGCTACCAAGCTGCTCAACGCCGCTGCCACCGGCAAGGCTGGCGACGCAGTCGATGTGGACTGGAAGAAAGAAAAAGATCTGCAGAGTCGCATGAAGGACGGCCACGCAGCGCACAAAGCTCTGGTGGACTTCGCGCGCTGCCAAAGCGCGAAGCCCAAGGGTCGCAGCAAGAAGTGAGATGGGTCGCATGCGTGCGATCCGTGCCGTTGGAGCGTTATGACGCTCTATCCGCAATTAATTTGCTGCCATAATTCGTTCTCATATATATGGTCACTGCAGTTGGCTGTGATCCGTTAGCACCCCGGAGGAAAAATGCGCTTTCTCTTTCTTCGGGTTAAACGAGCAACACTTGTTTCATGGAAAAATATATATGTATATAATATATAGTGTTAAAATGTATATAGATTGAATACATTCATATATACAAAAAATAAAAACAAATAAATAAAAACAGAAATAAAAGAAAGAAAGAAATAAATCAATAAAGAAATGAAAAGCATATATATATATATGTTTGGTGTATGCATATAATTCATATGTGTCACATCACAAAACTCCCCGCTTAATTTTTGGCAAATGGAAATCGCTCTATTTGTAGCTTTGGCTCCACTTCAGCCACCTTTGCCTGGAAAATGTCGGGCTGGGTAACTAAATCTATCCCTCAACGGGATGTTTTGGACATGGCGTTGCAAGACACCCTCCTCGAAGGGAGCGATCTCATGGCATTGGGCTGCTGCAGCAAAGACTACAACAGCGTGGCGCATCGCTGCTGGAACTATGTGCGCTGTCGTCAAATTGTGCGCTTGAATATGGAACGGCTGGAAAAAGAAAAGATGTCAAAGGCAAAGTGCGACGCGGTGGCGGATGCAGCCTGACGCCGCTGCTCGCATCTATTGCCGCTGCGGTAGCATATGCAGCTCGCTCATGTGCAGCGGCCTGCCGTATAGAGAGATGGATTGCAGCGACCGAAGTACAAAGCGGTGCTCTTGATGCTCGATTATGCCCTCTTTGGTTTGAATCCTTTGTCAGCTTTACACGCAGGAACTATTATATATAGACCCATATATATATATGTAATATATGTAGATATAATATAGAGTATATATAGAGTGTATATAGAATATGAATATATATATATATATATATGTGGTGTATATATAGATTGACAATCACTTTCTCGACGGAAATACGTCCATATTCCCGATAGCGTGCGTGTATACATGTTACATGTCCGTCTCATGTCTATATATATATATAGGCTCAAACTTAATTCGCAATTCAACATGGAACCTGCAGGCTATCCACCGGCCAAACGGCAAAAGATTCTATCGGCCTTAGCCCGATGGAGTGGCCGAAGCATCCATGGCATGCAAAGCGTGCTGAAGGGAACAAAAGCAGACAGAAGACCAAGTGGCGCGGCGGTCCGCGCTATGGCGCGGGCACTGGCGCCAGCCAGGGCTTGCTTCAAACTGCTCGTGGCGCCGGCAAAGACTGCTGACCCCCCGCCGCAGCAGTTCTGCGTGGCGGATGTGAAGCGACTGCTACAGTATGTCGCGCATGAATGCCCTTGCTTCCAAACCTTTCTATCGAGTTCCCAGGGCCATCTGCCGCTGCGGGTTGTGCTCTCGCACGATGAGACCACGGGCGGAAACGTCTTGGCAACAGACCCGAGGCAGAAAGCAACAATTTTCTACCTCACATTTGTAGGACTGCAATCGATCCATGAGTCGCCAAGGGCGTGGATTCCACTGGGGGTCTGCTCGCATGAGCAAGTGTCTCGAATACAAGGTGGATTGTCGAAAGTACACAGCCTATTTTTCGAAGATTGGCATCAGCAAAACTTAGGCCAAAGATTCGAAGTTGCTCCCGGCGTCCAGGTCATGTTGGAAATAGCCGCATTTTGCGCTGACATGGACGCACAGCGCGCCGCGCTGGAAGCGAAGGGGTCCGCAGGACTGCGACCTTGTGCCTTCTGCATGAATTGCGTCAGCGCGTACAGTGATGCGGCTAGCCAGACCGACGCTTTGCACTCCATTGCAGAGAAAGACATCAGAAAATTCAAGCAGCACACACAAAGGGGCCTACAGGCTTGGATGCGGTCAGCTTGGCAGAAATGGCCAACTATGACCGCGAAAGAACAAGACACCGTTTCGAAATGCTTGGGCTACAGAGTGACAGGAGATGGCATGTGGCAATCTGAAGCGTGCTGCGCTATGGTGCCACTGCATAAATGCATCAATGACTCCATGCATGTGTACTTCAGCAACGGAGTAGCATCTTTAGAACTTTGCTTGCTTGTTGCTGCTGTGAAGAAGGAAACGAATAAAGATGTATCGGACATGCTTGCAGCCGTTCAAGAGAGTGGCTGGCAGCGGTCTGGGATGGCAAAGCGGGGTGCCCAAAATAAATGGTGGACGAAAAGACTGTTCACTCCAAGCTTTTTTAGCGCCTCTATGTACAAGGGATCTGCTAAGCAAACGCAGGCACTTATCAGCTTGCTGCGCTGGCTTGCAGAAGGAGTTTGGGTTCACCAGCCCCAACTGCGCGTGGCCGCAGAGTCCTTCTTGAAGCTCTGCGTGTGTCTCGACGTGCTGAAAAGCATCTCTCAGACCCGTGCGTTTGATGAGCTTGCTGCCGCTCAAAGAGATCACATGGAAGCATTTCAACGTGCTTGGCCGGATTTTTTCCGCCCGAAGCATCACCACGCGCTGCACCTTGGAATGCAGTACGCGGAGACGGACTGCTCCCCCAACTGTTGGGGAACTGAAAGCAAGCACAGAGAATATAAGGACACGTTTGCTCGCATCCTGCAGCACCGGCTCACGCAAACAAGAGGAGGAGCTGCATTTGGCGAAAGCCTGATGCCAAGACTGCTCAACCGCCATGTGGAAATGCTGAATCAAAACCCGATTGCACCACATGGGTTTTTGCTTCTGAAGCAATTTACTTCGGAAGAAGTATTGCGCGTGGTTGGAATGGCACACTGCGAGATGTCTTCGCAGTGCCGCGTTGCCATGCTGGAGCTCAAAGATGGAGATCTCCTTCTGTGGAACCACGCATACAATGCTGGTCGTTGCCATTTCTTCCTGTCCAAAAACAATGAGCTGTACATATACGTCACGATGTTTGAGCTGAAAAATCGAAGCGCAGCCTTGCGAAGCTTTCAGGCCACTGGTCACAAGAAAATGATCAAGTGGTCAAATCTTCTGGCACCGTGTGTGCCAAGCTGGTGGAGAGAAATTCATATGCAAGTGCAATGTTTGCCATGAGTGCATCCAATTAGCAACTTTGACCGTTGCCGTGCTGGCCAAGCGGAAAAAAGAGGTGAAATCGCTGCAATTTAACAACTCCACGAAAAAAAACAAAAAAAAAACGTTTTTCCTCAAAATGAAAAAAATGCAAAACTAAAAAGATACAAAAAAGATAGCAAAGTTATAACTTACTTATATCCACCCTTGACTTAACTTAACATAACTTCAACATAACTTCCTTAACTTAATTTATAACATGCATAACTTCAACATAACTTGGGGGCGTCTCCTTGCATGACCCCACCCCCCACCCCATACGTGCAACGTAGCATCGACAACGTATGCACTTCAAATGAACGTTAACATGACCCCACCCCCCACCCCATACGTGCAACGTCGCATCATGCCCAAGTATGAATGTGACAACAGTGCGGTCGCTCAAGGGGCGCCGCCACCAAAAGCAGCCCTTCATATTACACCACGAGCGGCAATAAAAATAGTACTTTTCCGCTTTAAAAAAAACAACGACTTTCATGAAATGTGCTATTTCGTGTGGGAAAAGAAGAAAATCAGAAACTTTGAAAAAGAACATGTTGCAGCAGGCTGATGAAGTTGAAGCAACAACGAGCAAAAAAAATGCTGACTATCAACATGTGCCGTTTCATGCTAACGTTAAAATTCACTGCAAATACCAATAAAGAAAGACACCTCTTCATATTACCCCACGTGCCGCAGTAAAAAATGACAATTCCGGATTAAAAAAAACAAAGAAATTCATGAAAAGTGGTATTTCGTGTAGGAAAACATGAAAATCACAATTGACATGTACTGTGGATAACATGTCATAACATGCAACTTGCGCGGGCCTAAAAATTTAGCTCCGTAACATTGTCATTAAATAAAGAAAAAGAAGAATGTGCAAAACCCACATTTCGCTGTGGCGAAACAATGATTTTTGACATATGGATCAAGGAGAACCAAGATACTCTGCGGAAACCTAGGGCCCCGAGCGTATGTATATATATATACACATACGTATATATAATATATATATATATATGTATATATATAATGCAAGTTGGTACAGTACTATGGAAAATCCACCATTCTTAGATGATTTTATTGTATACAACAGGCCCCGTTAGCTATAGTTATATCCCCCACCTTGTAGCTATTGTAAATGGGCCCCCACCTTGTGTACAATTTTGAAGTGTTCCTTTGCCAGCTCAAGTGGGGGTACCTCCAAATCATCCATTTCAACAGGATTTTCCAGTATAAACCATCTATTTTGGGGTACCACCATTTATGGAAACAGCGTTGCCAGTGGATAAGTTCGTTGGTTTTCCCATGTCGCGGGTCGGTGCCGTTTCTCCAGGCGTTTTGGTGGCACGGCCTGAGCGACATGATTTTTTTCCCCACGAATCAGTGGCGGAAGCGGGTGCTGGCGGGTGGTTTCAGCATGTTTTTTCGCCCATAAACGGTGTCAAACACAATAAGAAACGCACACCAAAAGAAGGAGATCATTGTTGAGTTTCCCGTGTATACTGGCGACTGCGCTAGACAACGACCTGTCCGACGTCGCTGTAGTTTGGATTGGACTCCAACAATATGAACGAAGCGTTAGCTTGATGATTTTGTCGCATTCAGCCATGATATTGGCCATTACAAAAATCAAGCGGACGTTCCCATCCTTCCTCCAGCTGATTTCACGACAATGACCAGGACAGCCCGCATCTTGAAACTACCTATCCAGGAGCGCCTTTGGGAAAGGTATGACTCTGCTTCATGCTGGTAGCTAGTTAACAGCCTCCGGGAAAACAGTTAGCGAATTGGAAGCCCCCAGGTAGCTAGTTCGATGATGGTGGATCTACAAGACTAATTTGTGGTGCCCCAAGTGATGTGTTTTTTTTTTAGCCAGATACAATAGATATCAATAGATTATATCATGTTGTGGGCCGTGGGCCGGCTTTTTCAATGGCTTTCTGTGTGGTACATGGGATTTTGAACCCGAGGAAACATATTCCCTACAGCTTTGCGTTCGTACTCATTAGTGGAACTGCTAATGGACTTAAGTGGGGCCCACCATGAACCAAAAAGTGCTTGCCCAATGCGTATTCCGTCGTTTCCCAAAGGTGAAATTGCTTGCCCACACGGGGCATTCAGGTGTAACAACATTATGTACACGTTTCACCTTGTACAGTTGATTGCATTGCCAATTAAGAAGTGACGTTTCATCAAGAGGAATAAAGGACCCATAGGTGTGCTGGTTATGTTCATTTGCAATGGTGCCCCAGTTCGTCTGGGAACTTGATTTGAAACTAAGCTAACTGTTGGGTGTACAGACAATATGTCTATATATTAGCTCGGTTTATAAGCCAGCAATCAACGGATTGGTTCAAGGGACATGTTACAGGAAACGCGTAGGAACCCCCTTAGTATTTCATAGGAAAAAACATGGTGTCCTGTGAAGATGCTCCCAACAAAACCAACGCATATGTCAACAAAAATCACTTTTGATGCGTGGGCACCGCAGCTGACCAGGGCTTTGAGCAGCTCAAGTGGCCACTTTTGGGGCCATGTTTTGGTTCCAAGATGACTGGAGGAGCCAAATTTGGGTCATTCAAAATACCCTTGTTCCACTTATGGTCCTGTAAACCAGGGCCTGAAATGGGATGACATATGATGACATATCTCCTGCAAGTAAGGTGGGTATATTCCAAAAATGCTGTATTACTTGTTCTTTGTTATCCCTTCTTTATTGAGGATTATGATAATGCTAGGCCGGAATAGGGGTACCATGGGATACTTAGTAACCAAACAGTATAATGAGATGGGATAGAGGTTTTTGTCAGGGTTCAAATAGCCAAGTCTGTTTGGTGGCTTTGGAGTTTCGATTTCTATCCCGATGGGGTGAAAAAAATCGGGTAGCAATCTTGCGAAACCCAGATCCATTTGCTGGACATCATTGAGCCAGAGATTTGGCAGCTTCAACAGCCCACCATTGGTTACCATGTTTCCTTCCTGACAATGATCCTCAATGACTTTTCCAGTGCAGCAATCAGTCTGTAACACCTCAGTATATTCCTCCGCTGCGAAGCCATTTGCAAGATCGAATGATTGGGACATGCATTTTGCTTGTGAATATGAAGATAGGCAGACAAAGTCAGAGTTTTCTATAGATGCGTTTTCTTTCACATGTGTTGATGTCCTTTTGCTTTAATCTGGTTGTTCGGTCTAGACGCAAGCAGCACCCGTCCGCCTTTTTTTCAGCGGGCAGATCCGTTGGCCGTTCGGGCTGCCTAGTGGTGAATGGAGAGGTCAAGAGCTATGGTTGTTTGCATACTCCAGTTTCAAGCCAAGGAGCGACCAAGAGTTAACCAACCACATGATCGTTTGATCAAGTTTAATATGATCTTGCTTCAGAAAGATGATGTTTTTTCTGATTCAGCCGGATATGTGTAGTTGATTGTAGGTGTATATGATGTACAGTATCTCCCATCCCAAGTTGAAACCTTGCCTTACCGCAGCACATCAGATATCCATGTTCACTGGATCGAAGCCCTGCTGATGACTAGTTACGTACAACCCGACCAAACAAAGAAATCGGCGGATCGAAAAGGAAACCAATATCAATCCCAATGTTTGGTGGTTAGTACAACTAGTGAACCAATGTTTGTGGATGAATGGGTTAGTAATAACAAACTAGTGCAATGAATTGGATTCAACCCCAATGTTTGGTGGTTGACCAGTGAACAAAGGAATGGTTTGAATCCAATTCATAGCCAACTAGTCTCAACCAGGAAGGGGCCGCTCAGTTGCGATTTGCAAGACAACACATTTTGGCCAAGGCTGAAACAGTTGGGGGAAAATGATGGTCACACACAGTTGTTAAGTTTCATTGTTGTTGACAGATAATTTTGTTCATATATATATATACATACATACAGTCATATATACATATACATATACACACATATACATACACATACACATAACATAACATACACATTTCATTACATCAATAACATTAATAACATTAAGAGCATTAAACAAACATGGAAGATCATTAAAACACATTAAAAACATTATATATAAACATTAATACCATTGATAACATTAACAACATTAAACACATTAAAATCATTGATATCAATACTAATATTAATAACATCAATAACATTAATAACATTAATACATACATACATTACATTTACACGCATCCATACATACATGCATGCATGCATGGCATGCATGCATGCATCCATCCATCCATCCATCCATCCATCCATCCATCCATATATACATACTTAAATACATACGCACACACATACAGACAGACATACATACACATACACATTACATTCATTACATACATTACATACTTTACATACATTACATACATTACATACATTACATACATTACATACATTACATACATTACATACATTACATACATTACCATACATTACATACATTACATACATTACATACATTACATACATTACATACATTACATACATTACATACATTACATACATACATACATTACACTACATTACATTACATTACAATACAATACAATACATACATTACATACAATGTTTACATTGCTTGCATACATTACATTACATTGCAATGCATTACATTACATTACATTACATTACACTACATTAATGCATACATACATAACCATACATTACATAGATTACATACATTACGTACATTATTTCTTTTTACGTGCATTACGTACATTACGTACATTACGTACATTACGTACATTACGTACATTACATATATTACATACATTACATACATTACATACATTACATTATATTTCATTACATTACCTTACATTAATCCATACATACATAATCATACATACATAAATACATACATACATACATTCATGCCTGCATGCATGCATGCATGCATGCATGCATGCATATATTTATATATTTACATGTAAATACATGATAAACAACTCAATCAATAACTCAATAAACTAATAAATAAACATATATATATATACATTTTATGTTGTTGCCTTCCTTATTTATCATCACCATTATAGTTTTTTTATTGCTGTTGCTACTTTTGTTTTTTTTACATAACACTTTTGAACCATCCAACATGGGTGTGACCTGAATTTGAGCCAATCCTTTTTCTGCGCACCATATTTGTCATGGTCAAAAGTTGGATTGCAGAGCCATATTGGGGATATTGGGGAATGGTCATCAATCTTAGTGATTTATAAACCCATTGTAAGGATCCCCACCAGGGGCTGGATGGCAATAAAGCATATACCACTGTTTGACCCTAGCACAGATGGGAAGATCCGCGATGAGTCGCCAGGGAGATCATAGGACTCTCATTGGGGGGTCCATGTAGAAACACATTAGTTGATGTTTTGGAATTATATACGTATATATATATATATATACAATACATCCCCACAAATCAGACATAACCATGAAAAATTGGATGATGTTCCAATATTGCAAGTTATTTTCCGGCGCGGTTTTTGTCATAGCCACAAGTTGACTTTGGAAAGAAACTTTGGTGATTTTATCCCAGGAGGTCAATCGCGATCTCTGCAGTTATGACCCTTAAGAGCTATAAATAGATATAACCAGGATATAAACAGGATTATAACTCCTGCATCTAGTTGATTATATATATATATATATTACATTATTTGGTGATTTCCCGTCATTTTCCCATCATTTTCCTAGCTGTAAGGGCTAGAACTGTACTCCTTCAGATCCAAAAACGGCCGCCAAGGTGATGGTTCTACCACCTGAGCTCCACCTCTATGCCGAGAACATTTTAAGGCCAGGGTTTTGCCACAAAAGGGAGATACATATTTATACATATGCATATATTATATGATGACGTCATCTATCGTTTGCACCTGGGATGTACTCTCCAGTAAACTCACATAGGAATAAAGTTCGATTCTGCAACTTCTCCGGGTTGCGCAACTAGGATTGCGCAACTCTGCTTGCGCAACTGCTTTTGACAGATTGCGCAACTCCCAGGATTGTGCAACTCTGCAACTACACTTCCTCCAAACAGTTCCAGCCCCCATAGAACTTGAAAATGACACGTGCCATCCACAAGAGCAAGACGGTATCAAAATTCCCACCCCCATGGAACTTCAAACTGCTTGGAGTGTCCACAAGGTTAAGATGATATCAAAATTCCCACCCCCATGGAACATCAAAGTGACTTGCATTGTCCGCAAGGTTAAGACGATATCCAATTCCCACCCCCATGGAACTTTAGAGTTTCACAATACCAGTTTCACAATCTGACCCCACGAGTTTCACAATCCGCCTTTAGAGTTGCACAATCCCACTGTATAGTTTCACAATCCGAATTTCAAGTTTCACAATACAAGTTTCACAATCCGTGCGGCAAGTTTCACAATCCGACTGGCAAGTTGCACAATCCATGTTGCACAATCCGCTTGGGAAGTTTCACAATCCGACGGGAAGTTTCACAATCAGACGTTGACCCTCACATAGCCAGAACATATATCAGCTATATCACCATCATTATATAATAGCTAGATCATCGAACAACATGTTTGTGTTTTCCAAAAGACAAGGGTTACCTTACAATGAAGCTATTCCATGAAATATCCCCATCTCATCATATCCTCATTGTGATGAGTTATGCTATGGGTATAGTTATATATGTATTTATTATATTATATATATATTATAATATATATATATATTTATAATATATATATATATATTATTATATATTATATTATATTATATTATGTTATATTATAATATATTATATTATATTTTATATTATATTATATTAAATTAAATTATATTATATTATATATATATTATACCCATTATTTGTTCGTTATTTTTCCCTCACGATGATATTCCCATGATGTTTGTATTTCTCCCATGAAACTATCCACGTATGGTTTCCGCCAGGCGATTCCCTGAGGAATTCATGGCCCTCGGCGCACCCAATTTGGAGGTCTGACTGTTGGGAGCTACTTTGTTGTGTCTAAACATACCGGGCATGCTCCAAAAACCATGGTATTTTCATGTATTGTTTTTTTTCGAAAATAACTAAACAACCTAAAAATTTTGGAGATTCTCCCCTAAATTTTCAAAGCACTTTGGCACAGGCACAGGTTAATGCCCTGGATCGGGCGGGCCGTAGGTCATGTTCATTCCCCAAGAGATGAAACCAGAGGTATCTACAGTACACAGGTTGAACACTCGTTGACTAAGAAATGAGGTAAGATCCAAACAGTACTTGTTGGTAGATATGCTAAAGTACTGCCCGGGCATACAGATTGATAGACTGGCTATATTTTCGAAATGAAGTAAGATCCAGCATTTGGACAAACATATACATTAGTATGTTACCCGAACACGTTTTCTTTATCCATTATTGTTAATAATACATATAACATATACATGTTTCATCTACAAATATTGCTGCGCTGAGTGGCGAAAACGGTTCCTGTGACCAACGAGACTTGGTTGTTCGTTCACCTTTTTTCGACGCTTCAACCCACATGTTCCCAGGATTTTACGACATGCTCACATATTTTCCAATCATGTTCCAACCATGTTCCCATTGTTCCATAGTTGTCCTATCACGTTCCTATATTTTACCTACATGTTCCCATCATTTTTGTTGGATCTCCCTCATTTTGAGACCTGACATCCGTTCCAAAAACCACCAGGAGATTTACGACCTGCGGCCAAATGGCACCTGGTGGGCATCTCAGGTTAGCCTCAAGTCTTCATATCAAGGGATATTGATATTGATTCAATACAATATATATATATATATATATATCAAAATACCTATATATATAATATACATATACATAAACATATACATATACATATATATAATATACTTACATAATATATATATATGTATATATATATACACATGTATATAGATTTACATTTATTGTATATACACATATAAATATATACATATATATATATATATATATATATTCATAAACATATGTATATACATATATTTATATAAAAATGGGATCTATGATTTATATAATCATGCACTATTTTTTTTAGATCATTATGATTCAAACTTCAAATGATGGTTTTTCACGGAACATCACCGACTGGATGGATAGAAACTAATCTGTGCGTGGGTTTTGCTATGGAAAAATAAAACAAAGTAACCAACAAAAGACTTGTTGTGGACTATCAAAGATTGACCATGATTTGTTTGTTCATCTAAGTACAATTGAGTATGTATATAGTAGTTAAATTTGATGCTCTATGATCTTATTATACAACAAATATACACTTGGCTCATCTGAGTTAATCTTAGAATATTGTAGTTTTAAACCTCATATCCGTGCCAAGACACTCAGCCTGTACCCATAGAAAATTGCAAAAGTACAACAAATTAATGATGGGGTAAATAGTAGCCCCTTCTGGTTGCAGTGCCAGACCTTCATTTGCCAATAAGGAACATTTATTTACCCAATGATTGTAGGAACGGTAAGGACAAACACATGATTAGCCGCAAAAACATGTCATTGTTGTATTCGTGAAAAACTCAGGTATGGGAGCTGCGCGTCACTGCATCAGTTTTCTCAACCGAAAGCCTGAATCCTTCAAGCTTGAAACCCTAAACCCAAAAACCAAAAGAAACAGAAATGCAAGGAAACACATTAAACCTGAAACACCTGAATTTTGAAACCCTAATCTTAAATCCTAAAAGAACAACTCAGACTTTGTGGGCTTTGATGTATCAACTGCCGGGTTTCATGAAGGGCACGTACTATGGCTGGACCGCAGTTCTGTTTAGCTTTACTTCACCATGTTCTTGTTGGTGAGTTGAAGCAGCGTTCACTAGCAATACCGTTCAATACCGTGACTCAAATCTGTGTTTTGGTAAGTTTATTCCTCATCTTCCCAGAAACTCAACAGCAGGCTAACAAGCTCAACAATGTGCGAGTGAATAGTTTTCACGGTGCGACCCCCTAGTTATAAGTTGGTTTCTAACCCCCAGAAACTATATAAAATTATAAATATATTTATATATATATATGTATAGACTATAGACTATAGTTATGTTCTCCACAAATCCAACAGTTAACCAGCAAGTTATGTGCTTCCCTCGACCCTCACGTGAGGTCCAAAAAGATGGTGGAGAGTAGTGCGGAAAAGACCATTGAGATCACCATGAGGCCAGGGATGGCCGGGGATTTGCTCTTGGATTCTTGGAGTTTAATCATGTCACATGGGGATATCATGGAGATTTCATGGGGGTAGCATGAGGAAAAAAGGAGGTAGATGATGTTACCTAGTTGGCAGTGTCACTTTTCTTTTGTTCATTTCCAACCAAAGAAAGGTAATGTTTGTTGAGGGGGTGGCTCAACCACCAAAACAACCAGGAAAAGAGTAATTTACAAGGACCTCACTCTGAGGTCACTGTAAATGTGGTTAGGATTGGGAATTCCAGAATGGCATGATTTCACGTTGGTGCAATACATGTTTGTCTGTTTGTCTGTTTGTTTGTTTGTTTTGTTTGTTTGTCTGTTTGTTTGTTTGTTTTGTTTGTCTGTTTGTTTATTTGCTTGTTTGTTTGCTTGCTTGTTTGCTTGCTTGCTTGCTTGTTTTCCGGAATGGTGATGATGAAATAAACAGGTGTTCATGGTGAAAACAGTATTTCTTAATTGATGAGCACTATACATGAATTGTGGTACATGATTTGTTCCAAGGTGATTATCATTTCCAGATGAATATATCCAGAATCATGAGCACACATAGTGCCGCAATAACCATCAAAGATAAATCTAGGAAGTATATCACTTTGGTGAACAACTCATAAGGAAATGGTGGATGTTCAGATCATCCACGCTCATTCAGCAACACTTCACCTCTAGTTATTGGCACCAAATACAGGTATATGTGATACACTTGTTTGTCTCCTAGAAATATCGAATCTATAGATGTGATGTCTGGAGGTCTAGTCCGCGAGTTTCTTTTTTGCTTCAACTGCAGGCGTTGGTCGGCCGGTAACCCGTATGCCCGTCGACCTCAGGGGATGCAGGGTGTGTGATGGCTGCCCCGGATTACTCCTGGAATTGCTGAAGATTATTTACCATCTGGTTATTTAACATAGCCATGGAAAATCAACATTTTTGATAGGTAAACCCAGGTAAACCATCTATAAATGGGCAATTTTCCATGGCTATGTCAAATAACCAGATGGTAAGTTATCTCATGGGAAATCCACCATGACTGGGGAATCGAAATTCGGGGAATATTCTTGGCAAGGGGAGGGATTCCTGAAGCAGATCCTAGTATTACAGCAATTTTTCGTGGTGGTTTGACCGATCCTACCTTGACATTACACACACAGTACTTTTATAGTTCGCGAGTTTGTCTACCAACTGGCATACACGGTGCTGTCAATCCAGCTTGGGACCCTGCATTAGACGCGACTTCCACTGGGTTCTGAGTTTAAATACCTGGCAGGTCGTGTTCATTCTAGCTCATCCTCTTCAATGTTGCAATGTGTTCTCACTAAGAAACGGCATTCGTTTCGTTTTGATATTGTTTTGGGGAGGGGTGCATTCCATTCTGCAGACATCACAATTTTCTGTGGGGATTTATCATTATAAAACCGTTGAGCCAGGCTACATATTGTCTAAGTATTTTCATGGAGCCCTCTACTCGGATCATGACCAGTCAGAAACTACAAAATGCAGTTGTAAACAATCAGCGCTATATGACCCTCAAACTTGTCGAGCAAAATTATTACTATTTGGTATAGTATACCAAATGATAAATGTAACCTGCAAAAATTGGACTTTAAGGTCATCATATGAGACCTTGTTCAGAATCCCACCCTTTCTGTAGTGAGGGCCTATCTTAGAGATGATGCACTTTCCTACCTTTTTGTCATGCCTGGGGGGTCAGCCAAGGCAAATTACTCCATTTTAAAAATGGATGGCGCTAATTTTTGAAATGCGCCATCTATAGACCACTTGAGGGATGGCATGTTTTGCGCCATCTATAGGTTCCCGACACACGTGGTTGAAAACAACCTGTTTTCCTCTAGGTTAGTTTAAACTTAGTATTAAGATCTGGGGTCCATTTTTTTTTGGAAACCATAATTGTGGATTGCGCCATCTATAGGTTACCACTGCGTTCCATGTGTAAAGGGAAAGGGAAGGAGGAGGGAACGGAGAAAGGGATAGGAGAAAGGGAAGCGAGAAAGAAGGGAAAGGAGAAAGTAGAAAGGAGAAAGGGAAAGGGAACGGAGAAAGGGAGAAAGGAGAAATACATTAATAAAAAACAACTCAACATATGATGATACACACATTTATAAATCATAGCACTGTATTTCTCCGAAAGTCAGATACGTTCATATTAGTTCATGTGCGCAATTTTATATACATATACACGGTGGACCCCGCCTCGATAGCTCAGTTGGTGCAAATAGCTGCAACATCTAGGGTTTGTGGGGGGTATACAATTGTATATAGCTATAATTGGGGGAGTTCCAAGTTCCCACTTATAGCATCTTAGGGGGTTAAATCTTGATACATAATATATATATATATATATATATGATACATGGATAAACATTGGATAAACATGGATCAATCACCATGAGAATCTCCCAAGTCTGTTGGGTTCTGCCACCGTCCCAGGCCGGCCCGCCGACGATGGTTTCGCCCTATGCCATGCACGGTGGCTTTGCCGCCGCTCCACCACAGGTTGCGGTGTGCGGGGACTGGGACCCTGACCCTGCACTGGACTGGGAAAAGAACTTGACAATGTTCAATGAAGGTTCATATGTATTCTTCATTGCTGAACTTCCTATGTTTTCTTTGGTTCTCTCAGCAAGTCACGAGTCATGAAGAGAAACGTATGTAAACACAATGTTCTTGTTTGGCAAAAAGACTGATTGAGGTTTAGGGGGCCATCACTTCTCAGTGTGTACGTCATGTTCATTTCTTTATTTCATACTTACAAAGTGGGGGCCCGTAGATATGGTATAGATATGGTTTATGATACTCGGAACATCTTATAACCAGACCACAACCACAGTATTTATCCTCTGGAAATTTAACATAACTATGGAAAATCACCATTTTTAATGGGTGAATCCACTATAAATGGCCATATTCAATAGCTATGTTTGACATAACCAGAGGGTATGCGGTTTTTAAGCCAAGAAACATGACTGAAGGGGGCCCTTGTACTTACTCTCCATCCCTGGGTTCGAGGCGGTTTGGAGCAGCGCCAACGCAGCAGTTGGGCTCCCAGTTGGGTTTCCAAGAACGGGATTCAGGATCTATGCTCTCAGTTGGGTATTGAAATAGAAGGGAAAACGTTGATTTCATGTTAGATTTAATGGGATTTCATAGGTTTTCCATGGTTTTTTTCAGATTTTCGTGGGTTTTTGATCGGAAGTTTGTTGCCATGGGCTTCGCAGTTCGGAGCCATGGGGAGCCAGGGTTCATACCTAGGGGCGCATTGAGTAGAATCATATAGTTTCATACATATTATAATACTCTATATATACATATATATATATATAATGCTAATATACTAGACTATATAGTCTGAGATATAGTACTAATATACTATATACTATATACTATAGTATATATATATATACACTACATAATACTGTATTATAGTACGATATACTACTATCCAATACTGGTATATAGTTCAATAGTGAAATAAACTATCTGGGTAAATTATAGCGACCTCACTACGACCTCACTGGGAATCATGGTTAGTAAGGGAAATCATCCCCAAATGGGCTTAATTCAGGTTAGTGAATTATTATAATTTACCCAGAACTATAGCTGTTAACCATTCAATACTCATTATTTCGAACAACTTTGCGATTTAGCTCACTGGGGAGCAAAAACCAAGGGTCAACCTGCGATCCAGGAAGTAGACTGATTCCACTCGGCTCGAAGAGTGCAGTCAGAGCAAAATGTCCGGTATTTCAGGTCACATGTACAGATGCATGTAGATATCATATATACATATTCAATATATATATATACATATATATATATATATATACATATATATATACTTTCTTCAACTCAATACATCAAAACACACAAGTTGTCTGGAACCTCCATTCAGCGATCCGCGGTTTGGAAATTGCATCTCTTTGGGGGCTTTTTCAATTTGGACCAGAAGTCGCCATGAAGTCTGCGGATGAGAACCAGATTGTTTGGGACCTGCTGGAATGGGGCAATCTGGAAGCACTGAAGATACTGGGCCTCGACCCAGGTGGATGGGAACCAAACATAGGCGCTTTGCCATCCATGGTATATCTATGGTGGCGGGGAAGATCTCTTTATTGAGGGCCAGATGATGTGATGTTTGTGTAAAATCCGCATTGACTATAGTTACTATTAGTTCTGGTTGGTGGTTTGGAACCTGGCTTTTATTTTTCCATATATTGGGAATAATCATCCCAACTGACTAATATTTTTCAGAGAGGTTGAAACCACCAACCAGAGTTTGTCTTAAAGCCAAGAGTTCACCAAGGCAAATGTGCATCAACTGATCTATTTCTTCAAGAAACGACATCATGTTGTCGTCGGGTGCAAACCATACCATGGTGCTGGTACGTGGTCGTCACCCACATTTGAGTACATTTGGATGATTGTTAGCGTTAGCGTATGTCAGGGTAAGTATAGCCGATTCACTATATTTATGCATTATAATCATATATATATATGATCTATACTCATAGTTACGTTAGCACTTTGCCCACCACTGCACCTTCCCCGCCATGGTCATCGACCCAAGGAAGTTCACGCCTGAGAACTTCGATTGGCGCGCATTGCATCCCACCGAAAAGAACACATTGAGACTCGGCGCTGGCTCGTCCTCTTCCGGGACGTTTTCATGGACTGTTTTTTTTCTGAAGGGGCGCAATGTCTTTGTGTTGTTTTGTTGAAAATTCAACACCAAACACTTGGTAAGTTGTAATTTTACTTTGAAATAGAATGTTGACCTATTCTGAAATCAAGCTGTGAGGGATCTCGCTACATGAAGTTTGCACTCCAACATGGGGTGCTAGTTTTCTTCCCTCGGATTATGGGTGCCCAAAGCTAGATTGCCTTTTACATGTTTCTATTCTTTTGGCTGTAAACTAAACCTCTGTTTATATATATATATATATGTATATATATGTATATACATACATATATATATAGAAACAACATGAATGGCTTCCCTCTGGGATTTCGAGTTAGAGGCGACTGGCACGGCTTTGATCTGCCTTTGGACACCCTTCTCGATCGAATCAGTGGCGAACCGATCCACTGGAGGGTTCGATTGTACCGTTACATAACGTTGCGACAGCCGGAATTGCATCCCAGTTAATGAAGCAAACCGTCCAAAACATACAATGTGAGGCCCCCTTCTACGTGATGTTTGTTGGTTTAGATTCGCCCCAGTAACTAGTTCGTTATAAGTACCATAAACCATATAGTTACTGGAGTTACAAGCCAACTTAGCTATCTTGGGGGCCTCACATTGTATGGGACAAGAAAAACAACTTCCCGAAGATGAAATTCCGGAATGCTGAAAGAAGGGGAGACTGGGACACGCCGGACACGTCTGCCATGTTGCAGCATTTTCACCATGCACTGATAGCAATTGGGTCCATGGTGTGGGGGGATAGTGGGATATCATTTATGAAGCTCCAATATGGTCTGGTTGGTGGTTTGGAACATGACTTTTATTTTCCATAATATATGGGATCATCCTTCCCATTGACTTTTATATTTTTCAAGATGGTAGGTATACCACAAACCAGTGGTGAGTGTGAGTCCCATATACCCGCAGAATATGGCTCATTGTTCTACGGTATTGCTGCATGATCCCATACCCTCCCGTAAAAAATCGCCAGTCTGAACACTGCATAGTCCTCAAGTGGATAAGAACGGTCGCAAAATTTGAAGTCTAAATGCAACTTGTACTTAAATTACTTATATAATCATAAATAGTTATATATATACATCATATTAGATAATAATAATATGGGTTACATGCTCTTTACGGGGAACTTAGATTTAGTCATTTCGAGGTTTCCCAAAACGAGCATGGAGCCATAATAATAAGATATATAATTGTACTCAATTATAGCTGTATGATACAACATGAATATATATATAGATATATGTACATATGCATGTTTTTCTCAAAGGTTAGAATTTCCACATGTTTTTCCCCAATTTTGTTGCTCCGGCAAGGCTCATGGAGGGAGTGGCTTGCGGACTGGCAGGGCCCAACGAAGCGCCACTGGACAAAAAACGACATCCGACATCCCAGACAGTCACTGTGGACATCCCAATAACTATGCTACTACGGTTATACATGGCTTAGAAACTGGCTATGCCATGTGGTATTTCATAGCTAAATAACTATAGTATATGTGAGAATTTATCAAAAGCTATACCATCTTGTTATATATACATCATATGCTATAAATCGGCTATAGATTATAAAGTTTAATCTAATCCACTTATTGTCCAATGGAACTGCGCAGAGACGAATTTGACCCTTAATTTTCGACGGTTGCGTTTAAGTCTGATCTGTCGATTCAGTTGTTTGTGGTTGACTTACCATGTCATACCATGTTTGTTGGTGCTAGTTGGGCCTCCTATCTCTTGATGTAAGACTCCGAATTTTGTTGTAAAATTATAATTTGCATTGGTTGGTGAAATCGTTTTATTTGCGCCCAAATTTCACTCATGTGTTTTGATTGTCTAAGTATGTCTACGTATGTCTACGTATGTCTAAGTATGTCTAAGTACAAAATGATGTTCAACTTTGAAAATCAACAAAAAAACTACGGTCAACTCCTATGGTCTACTCCCAAAGTAGTTTGTGTAAGGTATAAGGCAAGGAAATGAAACCTCCAGGTTTGTCCAAACATAAGGAATATATGACGGGTAGACGGTTTAAGTTTAGCCACTTCCACAAGTTGGTGTAGCTAGACTACATCTTAGTTAGTTAAAACCCATCAGTTCATTTTTGCCCTTAAAAATACCTACAGTTATGGCCCGTAAGAGTTGCTTTTTTAAGGGATGAAATAACTCCTGCAACTACTTGGTGATATATTGTACAATGTGAGGCCCCCGTTCGATAGCTAAGTTGGTTTGTAACTCCAATTTCACTATGGTTTATGGTACTTATAACGAACTAGTGACTGGGGCGAATCTAAACCAACAAACATCACGTAGAAGAGGGCCTCACATTGTAAGATACCCTCTGGTAAACTAACATAGCTATGGAAAGATCCACAATTTTTAATGGGAAAACTCACTATTTCTATGACCATTTTCAATAGCTTTTTGTATGTTTACCAGAGGGATATTGTAAGCCAGAGGGATATACTATGATATAATTATAGATAATTATAAATAATGGGGTTATAAACTATGGTTAACTATATCATTAACTGTCGGGTTTTGGATTATTCCCACCTCATTGTCCCATTCCAGGTATTTGGACATCATCGAGTGGCTGGTTCGCTCCGGCGCCGATGCAGGGCAGCGGACGCCCTCCTCGAGTCAAGGCCCAGGGACGTTGAACCCAGAAAAGCCATCCCAAGAGTGGTCGAAAACCATGAGTTAACCAACAAAAAATGAAGATTTAACCATCAAAAAAGGTGGGGATTTCATGTTTATAATAGGATTTATAGCCCTTAACAGTTGTAACTCGCTTGTAAACTTGTAATATAATGATATATAATGATACATAACCTTAGTCTACAGGAGTTATAATCCCATTTATAACTGTTCAGGGCCATAACTGTAAACACCCATTGCATGGTGACAAATATGTGTAAATCCCCCTACAAAACCATGGTTCCTTGGGGGTGTGAAATATTAGGGGATCTTCCCAATCGTACTACGCATCCCCCAGAAACCATGGTGGATGTAGGGGTTTTACACATATTTGGGACCATGCAATGGGGGTGTTTATATAATATAATGATGAACTTACATGAACTTGTATGTCTTTGTGTGGGGACGGGATTACAACTCAAAGAATTGTTGAATTTATGATAATTAAAACTAATACACGTAGTTAATGGGGCTTATGAACCAACAAAGATGACTTGGCGGTCAACCATACAGCCTGAGGTTTTTGTGATGTTGCCAACAAAGGATGAATATCGTGACCGTACTGTTTTTCTTTTTCACGAAACCACATGTTTTGCCCCAACAAAGACGGATTTTCAGACATATTCAGAACTATGGGGCGCCAGAACTAAGTTATAAGTGATTTTGATTACCCTCTGGTCATTTAACACAACTATGGAAAATCATCATATTTATAGTGATATTTCCCATGAAACATGGTGATGTTCCATCGTTTTTTGTATGTTTACCAGAGGGTAACTGTTGATGAGTGGCTTCTGCGGCTATTTCTGGGGTGTGCTCCCTACGACTACCATATAAAAAAAGGCCCGTTACCGTGGCACGGTGCCCTTAACGAATACGAATATCACTGGCTTAGTTGATGTTCTGTATAATCAACCTATAGTAATCTATAGTATACTATAGTTGCAGGACTTATTGTTTATTTTCCATAGAACCAACTATATAGCTGCAGGCAGGAATTATTTCATCTATATTCGGGCCCTGGCTTAAAAAAAACAAAGGCCATAAACATCTCTAGCATCCCAATCTTCGCCCATTCGGCGCAGGAAACTACAGCATTTGGTTGATCGAAGATCCAGACAAGACCAAGCTTACGGTGGCGTACAAGGGCCACTCGGCCATCTCCTACCTGCTCGCCTGGAAACGTGCCTTGGCGTTCGATAAAAAGGGAGGATGGTGGAGAACTTTGTGACTATCACTGATATGATATCACTGATTATAACTAGATAATAGTCCTAAAAATCTAATAGATGGCCAAAACAACTGATATAACTAGTTCATGTTTGATATAACTAGCTATAATAGATATCAAAGACATGCTTATAATTACCCAATGACGGCTGGGCAAGGTGAGATGATCGTGATCGCTCTCAGGTTTGAGGCGATTCTTCGTGATCATCCACCAAGAATGATGGCCATTTATGACAATTTATGACAATCATAGACTCTTCTCATCAATCATTAAAAACAATGTACATGATATTCTGATATGTTGCATGTTTTTTTTTCTGAACCATGATGATCATAGTCTATGATTCGATGAATCATGACTGGTCGGTGGTTTGGAACATGTTTTCCATATATATATATATATATAATGGTATGGGATAATGATGGTTAATGATGGTTAATAACGGTTAATAATCACTGGTTGGTGGTTTGGAACATGTTTTCCATATATATATATATATGGGAATGTCATCATCCCAACTGACGAAGTCCATCATTTTTCAGAGGGGTAGGTCAACCATCACAGTTCCGGCTCCGAAGGCGAACTCCAGGACAAGGCGAACTCCGATGGGCACGGGAGCCACGTGTTTACGTTGAGTACACGGTCAGTGGGGCCTTTGCAAAGGGTAGCTAAGTTATGCTAAGTTGGTGCAAATAACGCCAAGCATTCTCCAAACTATATAGTTATTGATGTTATTGGGGGTTACAAACTAACCAGTCCCCCGATTTTTGCTTGTGGTTCAGGGTCCTGGTGGGAAGTCCTTCATTGAGATTATCCCAGTAGTACCGCACAAGGCGGTGGCGGAAGTTTCAAAGATAGGACGCTATAGGAGAGGTGAGTTGTTGTGATGCATGGATGGCAGATCGAATCCACTGATGGACTGAAAGGTGGTTGGAGTTGTGTTTTTGGAGCGGTTACAATGGTTGCAGTGGTCACCTGGCCGGTCACCTCACCCACAACTGCTGGATGTAGTGTGGTGTAGTGCAGCTGCAGTTGTATTCGTAGCGTAGCGGAGTTGTAGTTGTGGTGTGTAAATTAGTGTAGTGTAGTTGCAGTTGGATTTGTGGTGGTGTAATGAGTGTAGTGTAGTGTAATGTAATGTAGGGTAGCGTACTGTAGTCTAGTGTAGTGTAAAGTAGCGTAGTTGTAGCTGTAGTTGTAGATAGTGTAGTGTGGTCTGGTGTGGTGTGGTGTGGTGTAGTGTAATGTAATTAGTGTAGTGTAGTGTACTGCGGTTGTAGTTGTAGCTGTAGTTGTAGTTGTAGTGTAGTGTACTTGAGTGTAGCGAAGTGAAGTGTAGCGTAGTGTAGTGTAATGTAGCGCATTTGTAGTTGCAGTTGTAGCTGCAGTTGTAGTTGCAGTTGTAGTCGCAGTTGTAGTTGCAATTGTGGTTGTAGTTGTAGTTGTAGTTTGTGTTGTGTAGTGTAGTGTACTGTACTGTAGTCTAGTGTAATTGAGTGTAGCGCAGTGTAGTTCAATACACTTAGTATAGTGTAATGTAATGTAGTGTAGTTGTAGTTGTTGCAGTTGTAGTTGTAGTTGTAGTGGAGTGGAGTGTAGTGTAATGTAGTGGTACTTGTACTTGAAACTGCTACAAAACATTCACGTTTTCTCACTTTTGACAACATGCAGAATCCCTTGCGCCTGCCACGCAAAACCACATCTGAACGTCCAAAAGTGATTTCAAAAGTGCTCCGAACCCTTTAGTTTTAAACACTTTTGACTTCCAAATGTGCTTCGTGCCACAACGGCGTGCACTTTTTTGACATGTCAACTTCCAAAAGTGGTCCGGCACAGAGGTGTTTTCATTTTGGCTTCGAAATGTGCTTCGCGCCACAACGGCGTTCAATTTCTCATTTCTCATCTGGCCAGATGGCTCCGCACCCGCCGCTTTAGCGAGCCTGCTTTTGGACCCTCTGGAGCCACAAATCATTGGAAAAACGCAGTGATTCGCGACTTTGCTACCTTTTCGCGCACCTGCATCTTCTTTCTTCTGGCTCTTTCTCTTCTCTGATCTTCTTTCTCCTTCTCTTCTCTTCTCTTCTCTGACTCTTCCCACCTCTGCTTTTTTATCTGCCCATATTGCCGGAATTTTGACTCCTAAGTTTCCTTCGATAACTACCAGCTGCCACTTACCCTGCAGTAAACGTAGATCTGGAGAACCCATCATTTAAATGAGATTGTTTCCTATGGGAACCAATGAATTTGCAGATCGATCTATGTTAATTTACCAGAGGATACCAGAGGGTACAAGGTGGAGCCACGTAGTTGCGTAATTTGGTTAATGACTGGGCTTACTGACTGTTGGATTTATGGAAATATATCGAACTAGTTAGCTGGCTTTCAAAACCCACGTCTATCTGATGGTCCCTCAGTTATGACAAGTTATGACTGTTGGTTTATGTTTACCATAAGTCCAGCCATTCACCGAGCTGTATCAAGTCATAAACCGACAAACCGCCAACTAAATTTCAAATAATTCCCATCCAAATAGCATTCAAATGCCATAAATCGCTATAGATCCCCAAGTAGATCCCATAAAACTCTATACAAATCACCATAAACCAACTACCTAACATGTCACGACTTCGGATGAGTTTCGCCGGTGAACTCCGTGGCTTAGGGGCCGTGGCTTATGCCGCAGGCGGAGTGGTCCGAGAACTTGGCGTATTTGGACAAGGCCTTGGCCAAGATCACCTTGGCCACGCGGCCGCGCTCCTTGGGCCGACCGAAGGTGCGGCGCCTTTGGGAGGAAAATCTCAGAAATCTCCTGGGGGCATCATGGGGGATAGTGCATATTATATATATATATTTGTCATGTTGTATAGATAAAGGTAAATGTCTATCTGAGTCATGTATAATATGATATTTATATATATTATAAATATAAATAAATAAATATATATATATACATACTTAAATATACAGATATTTATATATGTGATATCTGACCCTGCGAACCAAAGACCTCGTTAAACTTGATCGTTTCAATGAACATGTTTTACTTGTAAAAGAACGTACTTTACTTGAGCTAATTTTTACCAAAGCTCCGTTGATGCAGTGGACAAATGCGTTTTATCGACAAATCACTGCAAATCATTCTCCCAACTGGTTGAGTTCCAGGGCTTTTGGTATCAATTTATATCAATTTCATTGTTTGCAGTCGCCGTTTACAGCTGCCCACAGCCCGTGAACGTCCCGTCAACAACCCGAAACAAGCCGTGAAACACCCTTGAACCATCCGTGAACGACCCGTGAACCACCCGTGAACCACCCGGGAACCACCCGTGAACCACCCGTGAACCACCCGTGAACCACCCGTGAACCACCCGTGCGACCAGTGTGTTAGAGACACAAAAAACTGGGTTAGAGACCCGAAAAACTGATTTTGTACCGTGAGCGACCCGTGAAGCACCCGTGAAGCACCCGTGAAGCATCCGTGAAGCACCCGTGAATGATCCGGGGACGCTCAATGAACATGCATTAACGGGCAAATGGTTTCCATCTTTTTGATTCTTTTTGCAGGTTCCCAATATCAAATGCAGTCTGTCATAGCACTATATGCATGTCTCTATGAACCAAGTCTCTCTCAAGATAGATTCAAAACAGTGATGTTGCTGAAGTCTTGACAGCAAGTGGTTAGAAGGATTTAGAAATGTGATCGGAGAGCACAATTTCAAATGATCAAGTTAAACTTGTTCTTAACCAATGTGGACAGGTTAAACTGGTCTTTCGGGTTTGTAGGGTGAATATGTATGGATTGTGTTGGTGCTGCTCATGATTTGCAATAGGAATGGTATAACGTCAGTCGGTCGTTGAGAGTTCGTTAAAGCTTTCGTTGATGATTTCGTGGCAATCCTTGTGGCAATCCATTTTGCCACACCTTTTGCCACAAAAAATGATCGTGAGAATTTCGTTGAAATTTCGTCAAAGATTTCGTTGCTTCAACTCAAGTTTGACGAAATTTCAACGAAGTTTTGGACGCAATTTCGACGATTTTTTTTTGTGGCAAAATGTTGTGGCAAAACGTTTTGCCACAAGGAAAATTTCGTCAAAACGCGAGAGGGGACGAAATTTTGCCTTGTGGCAAAACGTTTTGCCACAACATTTTGCCACAAAAAAAATTCGTTGGAATTTTGTCAAAGATTTCGTTGCTTCAATTCAAGGTCTGACGAAATCCTAACGAAATTCTGACGAAAGAATTTGTGGCAAAATCTGGTGGCAAAACGTTTTGCCACAAAGCACCCGACGAAAAGTCTGACGAAATTCTGACGAAATGAAAACGAAAGAAACAACAAAGAAAATCCTTATACCAGAACATATTGCAAGTGGTAGGAAACCATGGTGGAGTTCGATCACAATGTATGGATATAAAATGACTGCAAACAAAATACTTAAATCTAACTGATGTGGACTTGAACAATGTCTTACCCATCTCTCCTGTCCAGCTCTTTATCTTCATGTGCCAGTCCATTTTGGTTTGTTTTTGGCTGAAAATGTGCAGAAATCCGAAATCCATCGAAAACCGAAAACTAAAACACACACGCAAGAATAACATGTTTTGACCCAAGGTCTCACGATTCCACAGGCTCCAGGACTTGCATGTTTCTGATGTTTTGGTATATTTTTTCAGTGTTTCCTTACGAGTTCCTTGCACTAATTGAAGGAGATATTGCATCTTTGACAAACATGTGATTTGGTGTTTTTCAATGTGAACATGTAATTTGTCAAAGTAAACATGCATATTTAGAATGAAAAATCGTTATATATCTCCTCTAACAAATACTACCTCTTTCAAATGAAAAGTACATTTTTAATGACTGTGACTTTCTATGACTTTCTCTTCAAGCAAATCTTCATTTTGTTAAGAAATGCTAAATGTTGCGTCATTTGATAGAATTTGTTTGCTGAGAAAACCTGCTCTTGTCAATTAGAATTGTTTTGCGGACAGGAAACTACTATACATGTTTGTTGTGTAAGTAAGGCTACAAATTTGAAGAAAATAGTTTCCTTTTAAATGACTCTGCATTTGTCTGTTTGAGAGCGTTGATTCTTAAATGAATATATGTATATACATAATTTTACATATGTATATATATATATATATTTAAGTGGGCATGTCCTTGTATTTAACACATTCGTAGTGATCACTTGAAATCATATTTTCAACACATATCAAATGCCTCTTTGATATGAACAAAGTGCCACGTCACTACTTCCACAAACCCCTTATGAGTTTGATCTCTGTATTTTCCACTGATGCTCGCGGATGATGATGATGATGATGAGGAGGAGGAGGAGGAGGCGGAGGCGGAGGAGGAGGATGATCGTGTGCTCAACTTCCACATTTTTTTCTGGCTGCGAGCAGACTGTTACCAAAGGTGAGCTGTTAACTGGTGGTTTTGGTATGTTTTGGTTGGTGTTGAGGAATACCGGGGGTGCCAGGCAATCACAATAACAATAGGCCTCGCCAACAAAATGTTGGTTGATGATGACGCCTCGCAAGAAGCCTCAACATGAAAACCAACGGCAATGGCAACAATATAGCAACCACAACAAACAAACAGGTTATATATCGTCATAGGCAATGCGGCCCCCGTAGTTATAAGTTGGTTTATAACCCCATCTAACTATAGTTATAACTATCATAAAGCCTAGTTAGTTATTGTAGCTATTTGCACCAACTTAGCTATCTTGGGGGTCCCACATGGTATGGCTTTCTTTTGGGTGTCTAGATGGCCCTTTTTCAAGGGTGCCTGTTCGCTGCTGCAGGTGGCAGTGGACAATTCCATCGTCGAGTTGTGGGAACTTCCGCCGTGGAAGTGTTTGTTTTGTTTTTTAACCATCTCTAAAGGGTGTGCCTGAGATTCTATTTTTTTTGGTTTTGTATGTTTTTCTGGATTTTGAATTTTCTAAAATGGGATATCCATAGGGTGACAATGGTCCCAGTTTTAGATGATGGGAAAAAATGCAGGATACCCGTGAAACATGGTTTTTCCGGTGAGGATTTTCCCACAAACCCAATCCATTGAAAGGAGGAACGTGATGATTAACCACCAGATTTTGACGTACCCTATATTTGTCTTGTTTGTTGGGGGCTATACTCGGGTTGTTGGAAGATGATGTTCAACACATCACTGCATGATACCTTGCCGTCGGGACGGCCGCTGGATATGTTTTGAAGCCTGGGAGCATCTCAGGAAAAGGTCTTAGATGCCACAGCGTCGCACAATCTGTGCCTTGGAAGCGGTGGTCATGAGATAGTCCATTGAAGAATGACAGGATCTTTGGTACTGGTTAATTTGATCATCTTTGTCAAGAAGATTTGATGTACTGTTATAACATGATGATACCAAATCATCGATTGTAATATAATTTGAGCAAGAAAAAGTGCCCCCCTTTATAGCAAAGTTGGTTTACAGCTCCAATGACTGTTGGGTTTATGGGGGATATAACTTTACATTTATTGAGGTGAGGGGGTTAAACAATTGACAGAACTTCGGAGGGGCGGAGGGACCACCTTGTAGACCGCTGTCCCGCTGGTCGAGGACCTTTGAAACAGCTGATGGCACCGTCACGGCTCATGCGCATGTGCAACTTGCCGCAGTAACATCTGCAATGTGTCGCCAGGGGTGGCTGAGGATCGATCGAGGTTTCTGAGAATCTTGATGAGGCACCCATACCCCCAAAATTTATCAAAGTAGTATTGTTCACTAGGGCCACATTTATCCAACTCCTTATATACTGGGTAGGATGGTTTAAGTTGGTCCAATTTATCGGGTCTTAAAATGTCTTAAACTGCTTTGGGTGGAAATTAGGAGGGAGGCACAACTCCATCATTTTGGACTGTGTACCACAACCTGGTCACTTTCTCCATACCGTGCCGGTAAAGTAGGTTCAGCCATAACCACCTTGAATGAAGTGTTAGGTTGGATTAACCTTGGCCAATTCTTTTCGCCTCAAGCTAGGGTACATTGGTACATTCCTTTTTTTGGCTTCAACTCTGGGGTGGAACTGGGTTCCATTTTCTTGACAACTTCAAATCATGTTGGTCTTAGGATGCCTTCGGCGGCCCCAAGACCTAAGCAGCAGGAAAAACGCCATAAATTGAGCTGGGCACTGGAAACTACAACGGCTTCACTGCAATGTCATTGTAAATTATGGTTTGTGGATGGACCACTCCCAACATCACGTCGTATTTCATCGTATTTCAGGTTGGCGAATGCTAATTTAGATCTGGTTGGTGGTTTGGAACATGACTTTTATTTTCCATAATTATATGGGATAATCCTTCCCAACTGACGAACTCATATTTTTCAGAGGGGTAGGTCAACCACCAACCAGAGATTCATTTCGCTAGATAGATGATGGCTGTTCATCCCCAGAACGGTGGTCCGAAGTTGTTAGTCATCCCGTCTTTAGAGGGCATGTACCCTCTGGTAAACTAACATTTTGCTATGACAAATTGCCTAGTTATAGTTGATTTACCCATTAGAAGTGGTGATTTTCTATGGCAGACTGGCAGACCGTTAGTTTACCAGAGGGTATCATAATCTATCATTGGAGATCGGGAGATTGTCCATTGCTATGTTTGATTGCCCGAGGGTATACCCCTCTTTTCCTTGGTCTCGAAAAAGTAGGATGTCCCAACATTTCAAACAAGGCAAGAACCTGATATGAATGGTTTTAGGAAGTCAAACCCCTATACTTGTACAAGGTGTAGTTATCACGCGCTCCAGAACACTGCAGACTGCGGGGGTCATCACAACGCAGTGCCCAAAACAGATGGTGGGGTCGAAAATACCATTGAGATCACCCACTGTAGCTGTTTTTTCGTTGGGGCATGTACTATGGGGGGATATGTATTGAGATGCCAGAAATGGGTATTTCATATATATCTATATATATACACATTATATATATATATATATAGAAATGGGTATTTCATGTATATCTATATATATACACATTATATATAATATATATAATTATATATATAATTTAATATATATATAATATAATATATATAATTTATAATTTAATATATATATATATAATATAATATAGATAATAATATATATATATTTATATATTATTATTATAATATATATAATATATATATATTATTAACTATATATATATATATCATATTATATATATTATATTACATTATATCATTTAATTTAATATAATATAATATGATATAATATAATGTAATATAATATATATAATATGATATATATAATATAATATATATATATATATATTATATCTATATATTTTATAATAAATAAATAAATATATATATATATATTATTATTATAATAATCATAATAATAATAATAACAATAATACTAATAATGATGGTAAGAATAGTATATGTAGATATACACAAAAATATAGCATATTACATGTACACATTATATAATATACATCGTTTTTTGTTTATCATTGTTATATTTGTTTACCACCATTATATAATAAATCGCATGAAATTGTTCTTATCGATACATGTTATGCCGACGTGACAGCGTCCAAGGCTTACAGCAGCTTCACCCGTCCTGAAGGCCATGTTGGATTCCTCCATGCAGGAGGGCGAGAGCCGGCGAATTCGACTGGAGGACTGTAGCAGTGCCAGCGTCTCCTTATTCCTGGAGACCTTGTGCCCTGCTTGAAAAATGACTGGTTGGTGGTGACTGGAACCATGGAGTTTTATGACTTTCCATTCAGTTGGGAAAAGTCATCCCAACTGACGAAGTCATATTTTTCAGACGGGCAGGTCAACCACCAAGCAGATGAGGATTTTTTCGGGATAGCCAACAAAAATGATGCAAGATGACTCCTTCATGGGGATTTGAGCATCGAAGCTTCAGTGATTTCTGGATGGTGTATAAAAATCTTGGATTTAGCCCAACTTTTTTTTTATAGGGTATTTTTTTATTGAACAGTACGATGACATTGCTTTAGGATTGGACTTTATAATTTGGCGGTTTCTATAAATGCCATGAAATTCCACAGTAAAGACATCATTACAGTATAATCCCATCAAATAACCGTAAAATCCCAAACCATCAACATATATCACCATTAAATCCCCAAAAATCACCGTGAAATCGCATGAAGTCGTCACCATTGAAATCACAGTTAAATCACCATGAAATCCCGTAACATCACCATCAAATTAACAAAACACCACCATGAAATCCCATAAAAATCACCATGAAACTAAGAAAAAAACACAATGAACTTCCATGAAATTATATGAAATTATATGAAATTAACAACACATCACCATGAAATCACCATGACATGCCCTGGGATTCCACAAAAAACCTCGGTGCTTTTTCAAGGTACACCTGCTCTACCCGCAGTGATCCCAAGTCGCAGACGGTGCTCATGGCGCTGGACCTGGCGCATCGTCCTTTGGAGATCCAGAAGAATCATGATATTATGATTAATAGTGGTTAATACTTGTTAATATGGTTATGAAATGTTATGATATTATGATAATACTGGTTAATACTGGTTAATACTGGTTAATACTGGTTAATACGGGTTAATACTGGTTAATACCCTCTGGTAAACTAACATTTTGCTATGGAAAATCACCATAGAAATAGTGAATTGTCCCATGAAAAAAATGTGATTTTCCATAGTTATGTTAATTTACCAGAGGGTAACGGTTAACTATGGTTAATAACGGTTACTGGTGGGTGGTTTGAAACATGAGTTTTTTTTGACTTTCCTTCAGTTGGGAATCATTTTTCCCAACTGACAAACTCATATTGTTCGGAGGTGTTGAAACCACCAACCAGGTTAATTATGGTTAATAATGGTTAAAATGATTCATATAATTCATTATACATAATGGTTAATACTTGTGATACTACTTCTCAAATCATCCATACTTGGTGAGGTGGATGATTTGTGCACATATCATCTGGTTGGTGGTTTGGAACATGAATTTTGTTTTCCATTCAGTTGGGAATAGTCATCCCAACTGACTTTCACACTTTTCAGAGGGATAGGTAAACCACCAACCAGTGATGATAGTCATGGTTATTGGTGATAATACGGTTAATAATGGTTAATAATTATTGATAATAGTGGTGATAATATGGTTAATAGTGGTTAATAAGGGTTAACCACAAAACAATGCTGATATCAGATATGAGTATTGTTGAATATAGTGATTATCATAAGAATCAATTATAATAGTGTTTGATATCGGATAGTAATCATGCTAATGATGGTTGATACGATTGATATTGTGTGATAATGATTAAAAATTCGATGTATATTGATTAAGAGTAATAATAATGATTGATACCAAGTAATATTCTCTGGTAATTTAATATAGACCCTGAAAACAGACCTATTTTTTTAGTGGAAACTAATCTTCCAACCCCTATCTACCATGGTCTATGTTAATTTACTGGAGGCTTTTTTTGAGATAGTTTTTTGATCCTGATGGTTGAACCCATCAATGTGAATTGGTGGATTAAACAATATGACAGCTATGTTGTGAACATAGGTTTAATCCATAGATTCTATGATTTAATCCATATGATTCATAAATGTTCACCAATATAAATTGGTATCCACCAATGATTCTATGATTCACAAATTGGTCTCATAGAATTGGTGAGTGTGGATGTGTTTTTTCTATTGCTGGATATTGCTGGATTTTTGAATTATGTATGTGTATATACATATATTCATATGTATGTATATGTTGTTAATACGGGTTGATATCACAAGTCTTGTTGCACCAAATAGTTGGAATGGATTATTAATACTGATAGTGATATATATATATACACATGAATTCCACCAGAAGTTATTGGCTATATACATATACATATAATAAAACGTGTGGTTTCTTAAAAGTGTTTGACACGTGATGTTGGTGGATTATTGTGCACAATACTGCATATTAATCTAATATTTCGCACATAATAAGAATTATGATTACTGTAATTAGAATATATGTTTTATGTTATATACATTATCAGGATTAGAATTGGGTTCAATTTAGTGGTAAGGTTGTTTTTTGTTACTGCTCAAGGCATTGGTTGATTGGAGGCTACAGAGGAGTAGTGGAAAGAACGCAGGTTCGTTGAGAACTTCATTGCCTTGAATCGGTTGGCAAAGATTTGAAGGTAATGACAACAATGATAATGATAACAGATAACAATAAATTTATATAAATTCATTACCTTGAATCGGTTTCTGTGAATCAATAAGTTGAACAATGATGACAATGGACTGCTCAGCAATTAGCAATTAATATTTGTATATGATTATTTGGACCTCGCAACCTCATGGCGCGACAGAACAAAAATGGAACCAGCGGTCCCCAAGGCATCACTGGCTCATTTCATGATGTATAAGTAGTATAAGCTAAGTTACAAGAGCTAAAATCCCAATCCCATTTATAACTTTAAGGGCAGATTTGCAATGGCCCAGCAGATGGCAATGTCAAGATCAAAACTTGACATAAAAATCTACAGCTATGGCCCTCAGATGGGCAGTTTTGCAAACAACCTGTAGAAAGATCAACTTGTGGTTATATCCTTTTCCCAGCAGATTTGCAATGTCAAGTTGATTCGTCGGATTGCCCCGCTGTTGTTGTTTCTGTTTCGGCTCAACAAAATGACACCGGAAGGAAGTGTTCAAACATGTTGGAACTGGCGTTTTTGAGTCACAGTGAGTCACAACCTCACCAGGAATTTAGCAGTTACAACATCCAACTGTTGTAGCTGTCAATCTCCAAAGCGTTTCCGTTGACTCACATTAGGATTCCGTGTCGCTGCATCAAATCTCGATCATCCTGTTGTGCGTCATCTCCTTTGGTTGAGCTCCTGTTGTTTGTTTTTTTTCCGGAAAATGGGGAAGTGACCATACCTCGATTGGTAAATTGATTTTCATGTTCAAGCCGCTTAATTACTTGGGGATTATTAGTAGCCACCATTTTTATCCAAGTCGAGAGTCCCCGATTCTTAGTGCAGTTCCAAGTGCTGGTGCTTAAATCCCAGTAAGTTGGTGAACACCCGTCTCACCATCGATGAATCCATGAGAAAAACTCCAGTTATTCGATAGGTTTAAACCAAACATCACCAAGCATGTTTGGCTGTAATCGGCCAAGAAATCCTAGCCAAGAATCCAACCTGAGGTTGGCAGGTGTTCGCTCTAGTCGCGATCTTCTCTGAGGTCTTGCAGGCGTGGGAACCGCTTGGGGAAAAATGGGAAAACCACTGCAGTTATAGCAGTCATAGCCCTTATAAATGGGCCTTAGATGAAATAACTCATGCAACTAGTTGATTGTGTATCTTGAAATCAGCTAGTTATAAATATAATTGTTAAGGGCTATAGCTGTTGGAAACATTATCTGATCCAAACTCCCTGATTGTGGGAATGCTTGACCATTTGGGGTCGAATTTGTTAGATATTGTTTATGGTTATTCATAGTTTCCATTGAATGCGGAGCCAAAGAGCTATTAAAAGTTTGCCGGTGATTTTTTGACGAACCCATTTAGCACGGTGTTTTTGGGGATTTTCTCGCTTTGGCTGGATTTTGGGTATCGTCATGAGTCAGTCAGCACTGCTGGGTATTGGGAGTTGTCCCTAAAGGCTGCCAGTAACTTAGTACCCAAATCCAGCCCGACTGGTCTTTGGGAGAAGAACAATAGCCACAAACAAGCTCAGAATCCAAAGACCAGACGTGATGGGGGATGCACAAGAATAGTTACCATCACCAAAGTGTGGTGTATTATTGGATACACCCTACTTGGGATATCTTCGGATGATGTTTCATAGCCCCAAATGCTTGATAGCTGGGGAACCCAAGCAATGTTGCTTGCGCAGAAGCACACAGGTTCCAAACTAGCGGCATATCCTCTCATGTGAGGTCGATCTTGGTTTCAGGACTGCACGCAGTTTGACGTTTGAAACTACATGTCAACTTTCCACAGGATTTTCAACGCAAAACAGGTACGTGAAAGTTGCTAGCACGATCACCAAGCGTTGGGTTTGACATGAGGCAGTGAGCACCCCAATCTTGATGGTGATGAATTTACCGAAGCTAAGCTATAGATGATGATACACATTAATGGTGATGTATTGATGGTGATGATTGGGGTGATGTACTATTATTGTGAAATATTAATAATAATCTAATGATGTGTGGATGTATATATAGATACTATTAATGGTGATGTATTAATCATTGCACATTGACCAAACTAGCTCAGCACAGTCGCATGTGTTGCTATCAATAGAATTCGCAACATCAAAATTAGGCTTTGAATGGGATTGTTTTTCCTATCAAAGCGGATTTCCAAAAAGACCCTGCCCAATCTACGACTACGATATCCCCTTTGGTAAACAAACATAGCTATTGAAAATTGCCATTTATAGTTGATTTACCCATTAAAAATTGTGATTTTTCATAGTTATGTTAGTTTACCAGAGGGTATCAACCACAAATCCAACCGTATTAGCCTTGCTATACATATTAAATCAGATTGCCTATCATATATCGACAATTAGTTGCCATTGTTCCTGGTGGTGACCATAGATAGCTAAGTTGTTTTTTGTCGGTTAACTAGGATTCTCTGGTAGATATATCGAACTAGTTTGTGGGCTTTATAAACCAACAAACCTAACTATAGGACACCACCATGTTCCCTCATCTTCCATAGTTGGTTCCCCACAAATCGTGTCTTTGGTTTGTGAACTCA